GTGACAAAGCCCGAGTCTGTCTCCAGAAAAAAAAAAAGAACCCACAAAACATGCAACTGCAACACAACGAGTGAACCCTAATGTGAACTACAGGCTTTAGTTAATAGCAATGCATCAATATTGGTATGTTAATTGTTACAACATACCATAGTGATTCAAGATGTTACTAATGAGGAAAACTGTGTGCAGGAGAGGGGTCTACGGGAACTCTTTGTACTATCTGCTCAAATTTTCTGTAAACCCCAAACTGCTCTTTTGTCATTTGTTTTCGTGAAAGATTTTTCTCAGACATACAAAGCTAAAAGAATTCAGTAGCAGACCCACACAATGAGAAATATTAAGGGAATTTTTCCAGCAGATAGCAGATGAAGCAGATGGAAGAGTAGATCTACACTTAAGAAAGAACACTGGAAATGAGAACTCCATGAGTAATATGTAAGGTTACTTTCTTAGTATCTCTCAGCTCGCTAAGGACACAACTTCTCACTTTACTTACCTCTGTGATATGTTTGTATGATAGGCAATGTTGCTTTTGCAATGACAGCAATTTAATTTTTTTGTTATCCTCTAAGGGTTTTACAAATAGCACCCCATTCCCTTTTTTTTTTTTTTAATGAAGTCTCACTCTGTGAGGCTGGGGTGCAGTAGTCCAACCTCATTGCAACCTCTGCCTCCCAGGTTGAAACGATTCGCCTGCCTCAGCCTCCCGAGCAGCTGGGATTACAGGTGCCCGCCAACATGCCCAGCTAATTTTTTTTGTATTTTTAGTAGAGACGGGGTTTCACCATGTTGACCGGGTTGGTCTCGAACTCCTGACCTCAGGTGATCCGCCCACCTCAGCCTCCAAAACTGCTGGATTACAGGCATGAGCCACCGTGCCTAGCGGCATGCTATTCTTGAAGAGGAGCTCGACTCCTTAGTACCGGACAGTGGCTGCCTTGCCATTTCCCTGCTCAGTACTTGGTGGCGGGCAGGAGTGGCTGAGCCAGGGCTGGCTGGACGAAGGGGAGTCAGAACAAGAAGCTCTGATGGATGATGTGCCAGGCGCTTTCCCCCCATGCTAAACAGAAAGCAACGCTTTCACAAGGGAAGTGGGTGAACACGTGAACAGTCTCCACAGAAGCCACCCTGTATCCTCAGCCCCTTCCCTGCAACTCTTCCATCATCGCCTCTGGGTGCTTTTCGCAGTCCGGTGGAGGAGCAGGGTCTCTCTCACGCCCACTCTGGGTGTCCTGGACCTCTGAGATACTTGCCCACAGATGCATCAAACACAGGTTGGCTTTGTCAGGGCCTCAGGGGCAGGAGGGCTGCATTCCTGAGGAATGGCCTTACACCTGGTTTCTCTTGCCTCTGGCCAGTCTGTGCAAGGAGCCCAGGTGGAGGCTCACATGAGGAATTTACCAGCAGGTGTCACTGCTGCACAGCTGCTCTCTTGGGAGGAGACAAACTGGGTCATCTGGAAGGGGAAGTCCTCCTTTCTCATTTTAATCCCTGTAGCCAGAGAGTGGAATGAGCCAGTCTGTTTTCAGACATCTGTCAAGGCTTCTCTGCTATTCATGCCACACAGGTGACCGCAGTTTGATGTTGATCGGAAAATACCGGTGAACTCAAATGTATTCACATGTATAAAATGGTTGGAAATGATTCTTAAAAATTATTTCTTATCTTAAAACAAACGACTTTATGTGGGCATAGGGAAGAGGTCTGTGACATCAGCTTTGCTGGGTCTATATAGGAGACACATACATCCCCTGTTGGTTCCGTTTTCTCTGGGGACCCTGGCTAATACAGGTCCTCACAGAGAAGTGGTGTCACACTCAGGGCCCAGAGCCCTGTCCACAGGACACCTGAGGTGGGAGTGCCTCGAGCTGACACCCACACTCCTAGGATGTGGAACCTAGGGCTCTTGGCGGCATCGCTGCCACTAACACGAACTCCCTTGTGCCAGCTCTTGCACCACTCCCCACTCCTCACTGCCTCTTGTGAATTGTGAAAGGAAAAACTGGAGGGTGTCGGCCTTGAAGACAGGAGGGCCCCCCACCAAGAAACGTCTTTCTGCAACAGGTGATAGACCAGACTTGTCGTGAGGATGAGGTGGTAGCAGAGGACATTTTCACTCCCTGGACACCAGGTGGGTTGCAGCTGGACCTGGAGGTGCAGACAGGAGCCTTGGGTAACCTGCTGTCAGACATCAGGTAGCCAGCACCCCACCAGGAGCAGACCTCGAAGCCCAGAGGGGTGGCTGATATAGATGGGAGATGTAGGGATCTACAATCCCGGAAGTGTCATACATGGGTGAATCTGGGGCCACGGTGCACCTTTGCAGAATGGCTTTATGTGGCAGGCAGGGGTGCCAGGCACAGGGAGAGGTACCCAGTTGCCAGCTGTCTGGAGAGCGGGCTCCAAGTCAGCTTCCCCCAGGCAGCCCAGTGCTGGGATTTGGGTGAGGAAATGCCACATGGAGCCGCCTGCCCTGTCTCAGCACTCATCCAGATGTCCCAGTGACTTGAGGCCAGCCCCGGACTCCTCCTCCCTCCCTCCACACAGCACCATTTGCCTGCAAGAGCAGATCGCTCTCTTGGCCCTGGGCATGCAGGGTTAGTATGACAAGTCCCTCATCTCAGGGATCTTGAGCAGACAAATACACCAGAAAACTCACCAGCAAGGTCACTCCACTGCCCCAAGTCCCCTGTGTTTGCATCTCACTCAGAGTCAAACTCTGGCGGTGGCTGAAGACCCTCATCCCTCATGCTTCCCTTTGCCCCTCCCCCTTGCCCAGTCCCACTGGCTGGCACCCTTCCTCCCTCCCACCAGGGTCCCTGCCCCTGCCTTCGACACCCACAGGACTGGACCTCGCCTCCCTCAGGTCAAGTGCAAGCCCCTCAGAAGGGGCATCCCCTGACCACCACTGTGTCCCATTTTCCCTCCATGATTTCTCTGTAGCTCTCTTCACCAAATACAGAGGCAGATGAGGCTGGGGAATTTGCCTCCATTTCGAAGAGGTTTCATGGTCTCCAGCCAGTCCCACCTGCCCTGAGGAATGGTCAGACTGTCCCCAGAGGCAATGACATCTCCCTGGCCTCCCCTACCCTCTTCTTCAGGCATCCTGACTGGGGGCCCAGATGGTTCCCAACTCTCCTGAAACTGGAGCAACCCAGCTGTGAGCTCCCATCTTTTCCTGCCCTGTCCAGACAGATTCTTCCTGGCGCCTTCTGCCCTTCCCACTGGCCTAGGGACCAGAGCAGCCTCTTCTTCTCTGGCCCCTTAGATACCCACTGGATCCTACTGCTCTGTGAGGATCCACTCTTCTTCTGGATGTGCTACAGGTACCATCATGCGGGTCTGAAGGCACCAGCTCTGGAGTTAGGGGCCTGCAGGAAATCCTGGCTGCACAGCCAAGCTGTGTGTGACTCTATGCAGCCTTCTGGGCCTCCCTGGGCCTTGGTTTCTTCATCTGCATGATGCGGCAATCCTATTGCCTGTATCACAGGTGGTTGAGAGGAGGAAGGAGCCCATATATGTAGAAAGGAGTAAGATTCAATAATGGTCAGTCTTTATTTGTCCTTAACTGCTCATAGCTGAACCAAGTAGGGCTTCTGTGTGGGGTGGGAGCTAGGGTAGCCATAATGGAGCCCTTATACATTTGGTGCCTGATGGGGTCTGAGATTACCCACCCATCAGGGGTCCCAAGCAGCGGCCCAGGGGGATACGGGGTGGAACCTGCAGCACTTCTAGTTGATCTTTCCTAGGCAGCAGGTTGGTTCTCACATGGCTCCTCACCAACTTTAGTCATAAACCTTACCAGGTTTGTCTTCTGCTATTTTGACAACTTCTACAGAGAGAGCGGTGACAGAATAAAAGAAAAGGAAAACACTTTTGACAGTGTGTGAAATAAATAGGCAAAAGTGTGTCTAATTTGGCAAAAGGTGCCTCCTGAGCAGAGATGAACGGTTCCCATGAGGGGTACTCACTGGGTGCTGGGGTGGTGGCTGCAGTTTCCTGCTCAGCCTCCTGCTCCCATGCTGGTGGGGGGCGGTGAGACTTCACAGGCACCTCTACCCCTCCAGCAAGGTTTCTCACCCTGGAGTGGTGGGTGCTCAGGGATGGTCTGCAGTACTGAGACTACCACACCCTCCAACTTCATGGGGCTCCCAGTGTGTCCCTCAAGACCTCCACTGGCTCAAGAGACTGCCGGGCTGTGGCCAGCTCTCATACAATCAGCTCAAGTAGACAGCTCAGCAAAACTCTCAAACGAGTTGCTGGGAGGGTCTCCTTGGAGCTCAGGAAAGTCACTGCGTCCACATGGTGGGCAGGGCACAGACTGTGCTGCTGTACACACATCCCTGCATGGCTTTATTCCGATCCAAAATAACCATCCATTCTTCCCCCACTTCATACACCTGCCTTGTCAGGGCTGCTCTATGGCTGCCCATGGGGTGGCACATGGCACAAGCTGGGTGCTCCACAGAGGCATTCACATTCATGTGGCACATCAGGCATTTGTGGCCCCTCTTGGCAGCTCTTGTGTGGCCATGTGATCTTCAGCTGGGTGAGTGAAGACCAGGAGCTGATGGGGGTTTGGGCCTCGCTGGGCTCAGAGAGGGCCAGGTGGAAGTAGCGCAGCGGGCAGGCTGTTGTGGTCACCCAGCCATGTGTCATGATGCCTCTGGGGCATCCAAGTGCAGACCCAGAAGGTACTAGAGCCAGGGAAGAAACGAAGAGAAGACTCCTGGGAAAAACTTCAGTTTGCATATGACTGGTCATGTGGGAAAAGGCAAGACAGAGTGACTTAGACCTTCTAGAAATGCAACATAAGCCGGGGGGAGGGTAGTTTCAAAGGAGATATTGGCTAAGCTGACAGCAGGGGGGCCCCACGCATGGTACCAAGGAGAGACCAGAGACGGAAGAGTCCCCCTCCTACCCACGCGCTCCCAGAAGGATGCACGATGGAGCTGACCAGGAACGGAGACAATGTCCTCCCCACAGACCACAGGACCAACTCACAGTCAGAGTGGACTTTTATTAGGAAATCACCCTGCAAACACACCACGGAGTGCTGTGGGTTCAACGCGTTTCCTGAGGACGGAGGGTCACAGTATTGGAGCTGTCCGAGGGAGGGATGGTAGCGCAGCCTGTGAGCCTGACGGCCGCTCAAGGCTGCCTGCGGCCAGCACTCCCTCAGCACAGGACTCCATCGCAAGAGCCGACACACAAACGCAACACGAAACACGCCCGAGCACACACATCTGCGCTACACTGAATAATCATAAATACAGAATTCCACTTGCTGTTATCTGTGCCTGAAACAAAAGGAACCCAAAAGGGAAAAAGAAAACAGAAATGTCTTTCTCTCCATTGGACCGAGGGAAAAAAACCCCCAAATTATCAAAATTACTCAGTTACAAAATACTTTTTTAAAAAATTCCCTTATTAAAAGAATAAATAACAAAATATATAAAAAATAACTTGGTTGCATCAAAATTATAACTAGGAGTTATACCAAGATTTTTTTGTGGCCTATATTACAGTCGAATAGTTATTTTTGCTTTGAATTCACTTTTTCCCCTCTGATGGTGTCCTGGTGTGGGGTCTAGCAGAAATAGTATAAAATTAATAAATAAAAATGTTAAATAAATAGCAAACGTTAACATAAGAGGTTGTGAATATAAATACTTACATCTTGACAAAATTAAATAATTTACAGAATAATTAAACTAACTACTTTTTAATTTTTTCCAGGAAGTGCAATCTCTCTACTTTTAAATACTAACTTGGAATTGCAGTCACAATGGACTTGGATTCTATTTACACAGTAAGAACATTGTGTTTTTAACACATTAAATTAAAATTTACCCTTTTTCCACATATTGAATGGATCTAAAAGAAGTGAAACCTTGGTGGTCTCCTGTTAGCAATTTACCCTCTGACCCTGGTGATGTCATCTCCCCGCCTCCGTCACCATGGATGCAGAGGTCAAGCTTGGCCACGGCCCGGATAACATGGCAGAGATAGGTCAGGGGCCTGGGTGGACGCACAGAAGCCAGAGTGGTCCCTGGACTTGGGAGCCCAGACCCAGGGTCTAAAGGCTGCAGCCCCAAGAGGGAGCTGTGACCCAAGGCCACACACATCTGCACAGCCTCAGTGTGCCGGCTGCCCCCAGGCATCAGGCTGATTTTCAGGAGTCTCCCAGGCTAAAATTCCTTGACTTGACAGTGGCTACGATGCTTGCCAGCTGTCTGGAGTGTCCTCTGGGAGGCCTATTCCTAACTTTCCCTCAGGGACAGAGCTTTATTCCACCCTTAACACAAAACCGAATTAAACGAAAACAGAAAACACACTTGCTTCAGGGGCCTCACTGAGCACAGACACGCTGCCCCGGGCACATCCTCCAGGCCAAGATGCCACTCGAACCACCCGCCCACCACGCTCACGGCTACCCTCCCAGCCTCGACAGACAAAGGAATACTGTGGTTGCAAACTCCAAAACTTCCCTGAGAACCTTGTCCATGAGCTTCCACTGGAGACTTTGAGCTGCTCTTCAGATTGTGTTCAGAAAACAAAAATAAATCACTTTGTAATTCTTCAGTGCCCCTATGCACATGGATGGGGCTGCCGTGGCCCCAAGCCTGGAGGGAGCATCGTGGGAGAAGCCAATTTCCAGGCATCCCTTTGGATAAACCCGCCCGAGGCCACACCAGGCCACGAATGGGAAGTCACTGTGAGTTGGGGATCCCCACGGTACGGGGTGGGGCGGGGGAGGTAAACGGTGTGGAGGGCTGGGAAACTCCTGGGTACCACTTGGCCTAGACCTGGATGCCCCTCACAGCCTGCCTGATGCTCTCCAGGAGGTCCTTGTTCTCCGGGTTCTGGTAGCACTCCTGGTTGGAGTACATGTCGGTGAGGGTGCTCACGTAGGCATCGAAATTCTGTTCACAGATTGGCTCCTAGAGAACAGAACCAGGTTAGCAAGCCCCATCCATTCAGAGGGCCCCACCCCACAGAAGCTGATGTGAGAGCATCAAACCCATGTCCCCACGTGACCCGAACGAGCCCATACCAGCTAGAGACAGCGCTGGCTGCACTGTCCTCATGCTGAAACAACCACGAGTGTGGCTCTCTGCAGCCAACCCAGCAGGAGCCTCTCTGCTGATGGAATCGCCGTTTTGCTTTGGATTCATCAGCTACTCAGGAGGGCTAAAGCCACCACAGCCAACATCCTGCCCGGGCCATTCGGGGTGGAGAGAATCTCCTAGGGCAGGACCCAGAGGCAGAGGGGTGGGAGACACCCTGCCCTATTGCTTTCTGAAGAGACCCTGGGGGGCAGCCGAGGTGGCCGCAGGGCCGTGTGCTGCCTACCATATGCGGAAGGCGGATATTGGCGAGACTTTGGATGAGGGCCTGGCTCAGGCCGGACAGCTCCAGAAACAGGGCTTCATTCTGCTCCTCGATGAGCTTGTTCTCCTCCTCGATGTTCTTCAGGTTCTTCTCCATGGAGGAGATCTGTGCCAGAGACAGATTCGAAGTGCCACCCATCCTTGGCCCCCCATCCTCCTGCAGGTTCTCTCTGGGCTGCCTCTCACAACCCTCCGGGGGAATGCAGAACCCTGGGGTGGGGGAAGAGGCAGGGCCTCTGCCTTCCTGCAGGGCATCCTGCCACAGGTGAGGGACTGGCAGAGGAGAGAAAGGCAAGGGCCCTCTGGAGACACGGCCTGGCTCCAGGGAGGCCAGGAAGGGGATGCGGGGACTGTGCCAGGGACTGCCGTGGCACGTCTCTCTGCCGTGTCTGTCCTGAGGGCATGGGGCGGGAGCACGGACTTCACAGCAACTATCTCAGTCTCAGACACCGCCTGCTGTGGCCCTCGTGTCACCATGCTTCCTGCTGCTATCTGTGAAGTGGGAATCACTCCACCCACCTCGTGGGGTGTCAAATTGCCTTTGGGTCTTTCCCTCACCAGAAAGACCAACAAAGAGCTCCTCGGAGCCTCCCAAGCACACCTTCCCCAGGCCAACTACAGGCAAGTCTTCTCACTTCCCCACCATGGTGGGGAACCTGCCCTGAACCCTTTGGCATCCAGGGATAGCCCCCAGGCTGACTGTGTATCTGCAGGGAGCCATGGATGTGGAGGCTAGGCTCACAGGAAGACAGTGTGTGTGACACTCGAGGCAGGAGTGGTGGCCTCCTTCCTGGGAGGCTGTGGATGGGGCCAAGCCCGCTTCTTCTGCCACCTGGTGACGAGCATGTGGCTTTGAAAGGGTTGCATGGGGGATAGGGACCTGCCTTCACTTTGCCTTTGCCCTTCCGCAGAGGGTACCGCTCGCCAAACTCCCTCAAAGGCACAGGCACTTCTGAGTCCTTCCAAACGGATGCTAGTAAAAGGTAATCATCTGTCTTTAAAAAGACTGGTTTGGCAAATAAAGAGAAATCCGAGGTGCTATCCCGAGGGCACAGACACTGATGAGGGCCCTGAGGACTTTAAGAAGGGGCACAAGCTGGGGCACCCACACCACACTCTGCGTCTCCAGAGACACCATGAGGGGACGGGGACAGCCCCACCGGGAGAGCCACCCCTCCTTCCCTGCTGTCACTGCCTGTGAACCCCGGGGGAGGTGGCATCACCATGTGCATGACACAAAAATCCTTCCTGATCCCCATGGGGTGAGGCTATTTTTACACAGCCTCTTGAGTAACAAGCGGTCAGCGTGGGCCTGTTTGCCAGTAGAAACAAGACACGTGGGGCTGGAATGTGTCACGCATCTTCTGCAGCCTGCTGGAGGCCGCCATCTTCCCATCTGACCCTGCCCAGGGGGCTCTGCCCAAATTCCCTGGGGGGACTGGTCCACACAGTGATGTGCGCCCACGCCCCCAGCGCTGCTGCAGACCCCACTCAGCAGCCACGGGCGAGGCAGGCTCTTATTTTCAAAATAAGATCTTTACTGCTTTTTTTTTGTTTCTGAGTACAAATGCTCATTTCAGGGAAACCACGAAATATGACACAAACATTTAAAGTAATTGGTAATCCTATTCCTCAGCAACAGCAGCTCTCATTGACACCCTTACTCTGGATCGGGTGCATACGCAAAGTGTTTTCCTTATAGAAACGCGTTCCCTGTACAGTAACCGCCTGGAGTAGAATCTGATTCTTAACTCCGTCTTACAGAGGAAGTGACTGAGGAAGAGGCCAAAAGCTTTGCCAGGCCACTCAGCTAGCATGAGGCTGTGCTGGAGGAAACCTGGCTCCGGAGGCCAGGCTGAGGCACCAGCTCATGGACGGCTGGCACTCACAAGACAGGTAAGCCTAACGGGTCCCCTGGCCTTTACAGACTACTCATTCTGACGAGAGTGAGAGCAACGGTGCCGCTCATCTTAACGGGCCTACCAAAACCAACAGTATTATTACCACCACCGAGCCCACAGCCCCACCAGGACAATCAGCCCCGGCAGCAGCACAAGACACCGCAGCGCGCGCAGCCGGCAAGTCCTAAGTGTGCCTGTGTGCCAGGCCCTGCACTGCCCGTTGGCGCGGCCCTGACTCAACCTTGATAAGTGCCGACGGGTGCCTCGCTGTCCCCAGGATGAACGTTGGGGTTGGGAGGGCAAAGAGCCCAGGAGCGGGAGCAGCGCCACCCACCTGGGACTGCAGCTGCACCATGGCGGCCTCCATCTCCGAGTTGGACTCGTTCAGGTCTCGGATCTCCTGGTTCAGCTGCTTGATCTCCTCATCGTTCTCCAACACTGACCCAGAGAGAAACTCAGTTGTGGCTCTGGGCCTCAGGCCTGAGCCAGAGCGGTGTGGGGAAGCCTGATTTCCAGATGGAACTGAAGCCCCGTGTGCAGCAGAGGTGCCCTCTCCTGGCCTTCTGGCCTCATCTGTCGCCGGGGCCCAGACACCACGCTACACGCTGGAGAAGTCTGTCTCAACAATTATGAGATGAGTGTTTATGGTTTGCCTCCTGAGCTGGATGGCAGGTGGAAAGCCTTAAATCTCTTTGGGAGGTATTAATTGCTAAATTAAAGATGGAAGTTTGTTCAGGCGATGCTGAATTTTCTCCCTTAAGTGGGAATGAGTCACACCTCTCCACAAATGCACAGCCCATAGGCTCCATTGGACTCTGATCGCAGTGGTCACCAAAGCCGCATGTTAGTGCAGTCATGACCTCTCAAGGGCCAAGGGCCCCAGACACAGGTGTCAAGAGCTTCAGAGCCAAGGTCCAAAATGCTCTCAGCTCAGGTCAAGGGATCTGCCTCAGCCATGACTCATTCCAGGAGGGGCTTCATCTCTCTACCTCCTTCCCACCAGCACAAAGGAGCATAGCTCTCACTCACCCGGCACCCAGTCATGAGCAGGGAAATCCAGGAAGCCATCCTTACCATCGCTAGTCTTGAACTTTGGGGTGAGGACCTCATCCCCTGACAGTTTTCCCTTCTTTCCAGCAAATGTTGCTCTGGGACAGCCTGACAAACTGGAAGCAGAGGTCACATATCATTCACCAGTGTAGGGTCACACACCAGAGCCAGTCCAGGGTCACCTACCAGGGCCAGACGAGGGTCACACACCATCATCAATCCCGGGGTCACATACTATGGTTAATAGAAGGCATGTTCCACCTCACCTAGGTCACCTGGAGGGCGTCCCTATGGCCAAACTGTGTTCTATGGGGGAAAAGAAGCTGCATCTAGGCAGGGCAGAGGCTGGGAAGGAGACGCTACAGAGCTCACCTCATCTGGCACAGCCCTAGCTGACCCCGCCTGATACTCTGAGCACAGCTCCCTCTGGGGTCTGAGGTCCACAGGACCCTCTTGCCAGCACTTTGCAGCCCTGACCTCCCAGGGGAGCCTGTCCCAGCTGGCTCTGCCCCTGAGCTACCCTCAGGATGTGGTGGTAACGACATTCACCGATCACTCCTTGATACAGATGCTCAAGCAGAAAAGTGTGTCAAATGTGTCGGTTCTCAGGCGTGATTTCATTTATGAAGTGATTGTAACCCCACTGTGAGTAAAGGTTGGGGCGAGGTGGAAGGTCCTTAGGAAGCCCGGAGTGAGTCTCCTCTGCCCGCCCACCCCGGCTGCAGCAGCTTCCTTCAGTGGCCTTCCTGCCAGCTGCCCACAACAGACCTAGTCTCTCCTCTGCCTCCTGCCAGGGCCCATCACTCACAGTGAAAGCTGAGTCCTTGCCAGCTGGCAGCCCGATAAGCCCGGCTCAGAGCTCCCTACCTCATCTCCTTTTGCCCCCTCTCCCTGGCTGCAGCCCCCCAGCTCCTCCAGCCTTGTCACGGGGGCCAGACTGTTCCCAGCTCCAGCCACCTGACTGAGGGCTTGTGCCCCAGACACCTCAGGCCCAGCTGCTACCTCCTGTCCTCTTGCCTGCTCCAGTTTTGCCCAGAGAAGGCACCACCATTCACCACACTAAGTATTTTACTTATTTATTTGTTTGGAGAAGGGCTAGTTGTCCTTTTTGTCTCTGCTCTCTCTCCAGGGCTAGGTATGTGGTATAAACGCTTTTGCTGAATGAATGAGTTATTTAATCTTGTAGGTAGAGAAAGGAAGAGAGAAGGGAGGGGAGGGGAAGAAAAAGAAGAGAGAAAGAGGGAAGGAAAGGGGAAGGTGAGGTGGGAGGGGAGAGGGAGAGGAAGACGGGGAGGGAGGAAGGGGGGAAGGAAAGGAGGGGCGGGTGGAGGGAAGGGAGGGGAGGGGTAGGAGAAGGGAGGGAAGGGGAGGGGAGGGAAGGGGTAGGAGGCGGGTCAGAGGGGGAGGGATGGGGAGAAGAGAGAAAGGGAAGCAGGGGAGGGGAGGGGAAGGGGAAGGGAGGGAGAAGGGAGGAGGGGAGGGGAGGGACAGGGGAGGGAACGAAGAGTCAGCACTGGCCCTCGGCCCAGACACAGGGTTTCTGATGGGACCAGGCGCTTCTCACCACAGGGCACAGACAGGAAGTCAGGGTGGTGAAGCAAGGTCTCTCAGCATGGGGCAGGTGTTGGTGGGCAGGTGAGACTTGGTAGACTGCCAGAGAGTAAAGGGTCACAAGCTCCCTTGCAAAGCAGGCAGGGGTCTCTGCCCAGAGTTCAAAGAAGAGGTATGAATGGCAGGGCATAAGGTATAGGAAAACTTTTCCTGAGAAGTCGTCAGCCTGGTAAGAGAACATGTCAGACCCAGGGCTGTGCTCACGTGTGGCCTCTGTGTCCAGCCTAACACCCAGCCTGGAGGGACTCCATCAGGATGTGGAAGCGTGGCTCATGACGGGAGACACATGGAGAAGACACTGCCGACACCCTCACCTGGCACCAACGGACCCGCTGGCCTGCCCCAGGTACGACCCATGAGGCCTTGCCTTTCCCTCAAGAAACCTGGGTCACACTGAGCCCTGGTCTGGCCCTCCCTCAGGAGCTTCAGCCCCAGCCCCCAGGCAAGGGTCCCCTCTGAGAGCACCAAGGGGCAGGGGGTGCAGGCACAGTTACCTCCGGTGGGTGAGGAAACTCCCATTGGCGTGGCCAGAGCCATCACAGCCCGGGGTGGGGCAGGTTGGGCCTTCGTTCTTCAGGGACTTCCAGGAGAATGATGAGCCATTGAGGGAACCTTCCTTCTGCCTCCGGGCGGCCAGTGGGCAGCCGGACGCACTCCTGTGAGAGGCGTATTTTCCGCTGATGTGACCAAGCCCCACACAGCCTGGAACTGGGCACCTGGGCACAGAAAGGCCAGGATGAGTACAGGAGCGCCAGGGTTGGGAGGAGAAGCCTGGAGACCCTCGCAAGCCAGACACAAGGGAGCCCAACATCACACATTAAAGGACTTCCGAGTAAGGCAGGGAGGGCAGCTGAGGTCCTGGAGCCTCAGGGAAGAACCCGGCCCTTAGTACGAAGGCCACGGGGCCATGCTCCCTCTTCTGCTTTGGCCTCACAGCCCCTGCATGGCTGGAGTCTCCACGGCCGCCTTCTTTCCCTGCCCCCCAGCAGCTGTGACCTTGGGCCTGCGGGCTGCCCTCAGGCTCACTCCAAGCCTTGCTGCTGGAGTCACTTCCATGTCACTCAGCAACGTGGAGCCATGTTGTCAGCTGAGATCACCCAGAGGCCACTCCCCAGGAGCGTGCATCAAGCATAGACCTGGGGGAATATGGATCACAAGAGAACAAGGTACCCTAAGCGGGAGCTCAGGTACAGCAGGGGCCTGTCACCACACAGCCTCGCAGCCTGAGGCCAGTGCAATCGGGTGATGCCCATAGATGTTGCAGCTTTGCCACAACTGAGATCTATGTTCTAGAAGGAAGCACACAGACCTCATGTCGGGGAGACTCTGCTAGGGGATCCCACAGTCACTCCTGCCTGAGGCTGGCCTTGAACAGTGTTTTCCTTTCCCTTTTTCTGGGTGTTCCAGGAGAGGGACAGAGGCCCTTATGAAAATAACAAAAATTCAGACCGGCAAACGCCCTGGGCACAGTGTGAGCCAGAGACAGACAAAACAATGCGATGGCCCAGGGACACGACCTCTCAGTGTCTGTCCCCGCTGCCTCAGGGAGGGACCTGGACCAAGATTTGGGAATCTGAGGGGCCAGGTCATCCAGGAACCCACGCCAGACCCAGGACAAGATCTTCAATCTGCAAAGTTCACTCTTCTCTCTCCAGCAAATGAAACTCACCCAAATTACCGTTTGTCACACACTCACTGTGTGCTAAAGACCTGGCGACGCAGGACCCAGGAGAGGACACCTCTGCTCCCTTTAGCAGGAGCTCCGTGGCGATCAGGGAAGTCAGGGTCAGTGCAGGAAGCGCTCAGAAGGACGGCGGTGGGGGGTGGGGGGGGCGGGGGCGGGGGCCGCAGCAGGGCTGAGATGGGGGCATGGGCTGTGCTGCCCAGGGGGAGGTCGGCAAGGCCAGGACAGGGACGGCAGCTTCCGACTCCCTGCCTCCACACTCCGGCCTCCTCTCCAAAGCTGCCATTTCGGATCCTTCCCAGCCGCCTTGGCCAGGGCCCTGCTTTCTCTCTCTCCACCGGCCCCTCTTGGTTCTTTTCCTTTTGCGCCTCATCCCACCCACCCAGCCCTCAGAAACGTAGAAGACATTCCCTGAGCCGGTGCAAGGTCATCTCATCCCCGTCCAGAGCAGAGGCACTGCCAGGGGCCCCTGTGGGGGCTTTGGCAAGTCCACATTCAATGTCCAGTCCCCCTCAGACGGGGGTGTCCCCCTCAGACGGGGGCGCCTCCCAGCCATGGGGCCCTGGGGGCACCTGGGCCAGGCACAGCTGAGCTTGGGGTGAGGGCCTGGGCTGCGAAGAGGAACTGGCCAAATGGGAGGTGGCTCTTCAGTCACTCCACACAGTCGGATCTGAATTATTACGATCATTTTTTGAGACAGAGTCTCGCTCTTGTCCCCAGGTTGGAGGGCAATGGCACCATCTTGGCTCACTGCAACCTCTGCCTCCCGGCTTCAAGCGATTCTCCTGCCTCAGCCTCTCAAGTAGCTGGTATTACAGGCACCCACCACCACGCCCGGCTAATTTTTATATTTTCAGTAGAGATAGGGTTTCCCCATGTTGACCGGGCTGGTCTGAAACTCCTGACTTCAGGAGTCAGGAGCCTGTGGGCCTCCCACAGTGCTGGGATTACAGGCGTGAGCCACCGTGCCCGGCCTGAATCAGAATTATTTTTGCTCCTTTTCTTGCAAAACACTACTCCCCTTCATCAAGAGAAACTGTTGCTATTCCCTTGAGTCGCATACATGGAAGGTATTTCAGATTTCAGCTATGTTCTCCTTCTCACAACACGTGGTGTGAAACTTTCAAGTTGTCAGGGACATCACGTTGAGACATGCTGGGGTGGGCAGGCGGCGGGCACTGAGCTGGTGTGGCCTCTGTGCTTCTCGGTGGAGCTAGTGTTTCCTAACACGTGCTGGGCTGCAGAAGCCATGTGTGCCAGTGACATGAGAAGCATGGCCAGGACCAGGAACCAGAGCTGCATTTCATTTGTTGGGTGTCTGTGTGGCCAGGGGCAGCGTGGGCTCCCTCCAGGGACAATGGGCAGGGCGGGGGGAGCCTTCATTTCTTGACTCCCATGATGGAACCTCCGAAAGATTTACAACCAGTTATAAAGCTGTGGCAAAAGGATTTACCACAAAGTGCCTGATGTGACTTAATTTTGAATAGTGCAGGCGTGAGATGTCATAAAAGAGAACTCTTGCTCCACCAGGCTCTCCAAATCGCAGCTCACGCATGCTGACAAAATCCCATCCCTCAGCATGACCTGACACATCTATTAAAGTTTCTGCTTTGATATGCATCTGTTTAAAGACGCTAGGCAATTATAAATGCAGTTAAAGTTCACGGCTGGGGGTATGGAAACCCTGTAAAATGGACATGGCAAGTGGGCAGGTTCCCTCTGCCATGGAACCACCAGGAACTTCATCTCTCCTGCAAATGCTGAAGCGTTTCTGAAAGTCACAGTCTCCACTTGACTGCAGAACTCTTCTGGTTTTTTTTTTTTTTAAAGCTAAGTTGACAGCACATTAGAAAGGAAGACCATTTATTTTTCCTAGTTAATTTGAAAAATGCTGATCTTGATTTTAATCATTTGCAAATGCAGCACAATTCACTTATAATATCCCTGCCAGCAGGATCCTTGCCAAATCCATAAAGGTGCTGCACTTATGTAATCATAGGCAAATTCCTGGATTCTCAGGGGCAAAATGCTTTTTACGCACCTCAGCATTTAGCATGCAGCCTTCATAGTACTAACAACTACACATTTTGCATTGTTAATTTAGCATTCATTACAGTATTATTGTGAAAAATTAAATAACTAAACAAGCCACAGCCTATCATACCAAACAGCTGGTGGGGCCATCCCCTTCTGAAGGATGTGATGTTGGCCCATCAGGCTCCTCCAGTGTGGCACAGCAGGTGCTTGGGCCCAGCTGGAGCAAGCTACCAGGAGGAGTGACCCACTCTCAGGCCAAGTTGCCCCTCTCCAGGGGTGAGGTCTGGCTGCTCTTGGCCCAGCAGGTAACACAATCAGGGCAACCTGCTTCCTGTGGGCATGGTGGGGCCCCGTCCCCACCAAGCCAGCCCCAAGGCCCTGGGCAACAAGGTACCCAGAGCCATCATTTCCAATGCTCACCTGCTGGGGAACTCACTGCCCATTTTGACAGATGTCAACGCTGAAAGTACCTCTGTCCCGGGCAGACTGGCCAGGGTCACCCAGTTCAAGTCTGTGGCCAAGCATTGCCCCCACCTACAAGTGGGCAGTGCAGGGAACCAGTTCCCTACTGGGAGAATAAGCTTGCAAGGACACAAATCCCCACCGAGTAGGGTAACACGCAGAGTCAGGGCTCAGGGTTCACCTGTCAGCCCCTGCCTTGCCCCAGTAAGAAGAGCAACAGAGGAGAGTCGTTTTGCCTCAAGAACTTGGGTCACTTAAGGCCAAAGACGTCTCCTTTCCTTCACCCAACAGTGTCTGGCTCCCAGTTTAGATCCTCCCAGGCTCTCTCAATCTACCAGCTCTCTGCATGGGTGTGTGGCTGGACGGACACATGGGGTTCAAAGCTTTCACATCTTTCTAAGCACCCTCTGCTCCTTGACTCCTGCATCTTACCTTTCCTGTCAGACCAAAGTCTGCAGGCTGGAAGGCCCTGGGGCCACCCTGAGGCCCTGGGTCCCACTCCCAGGTGGTCCTAAGACACAGGTAGCAGGGTGCTCTGCTTCTCCCAGCCCCATCAAATACTTCAGACCTGAGAAGCCCGGAGGACCTGCCACCCATGCCTTCCAGACAACATCCAGTGTCAGGTCTGACTGTGCCATAAACGGCATGGTAATCTCTGTGACCTGAACGACAGCCCCGGCGAGTTCCTGGAAGAAGCAGTCGACCCCTGCGGAGCCTAACTAACCAGGGACATGCACTACTGTTTCTTCTTCTGGCCTCAACTGACGAGGCCATTGGAGTCTGTAACCGACCTCAGTCAACCTCATGACTCCACACCCTACGATGCCCTGCCAGCGCGCAAAATAACGCCAACTGTAACTCCCGCAACTTTCCACTGCCCACCCCAAACCTATAAAACCAGCTCCTATCCCGCCACCCTTCGCTGGCTCCATTTTCGTCCTCAGCCCGCCCACACCCGGGTGAACAAACAGCCATGTTGCTCGCACAAAGCCTGTTTGGGGGGGGGTCTCTTCATTCAGAGTGCGCGCGTTTTAACATCCGGGGCTCACATCTTCATCGGTACCAATGTGCAGGGTATAAGGGCTTCCATAAGAACGAATGTTGGCATTGATCAGTTTGGCGACCCGTCGTATTAAAGAAAAGGGAATCCAGTAGGAGGATTTTTTACATTATAAAACACAGGAAAATCCCAATTCTGCAAAGCAACGAAAGAGCCAGCATGGCCCAACCTACTTCATCAGCTCGGGGTCCTCCTTGTCGTCCTTGGTGGGCGCCACCTTGACTCCACTTTTCTTTGCACGAGGACAGCCAGACAAGCTGATTTTGAAAGAGAAAAAAAGGCCGCCTTAGTGCTAGAGCAGCAGCTTCTCACACGGGTCATCTCAGCCTCTCCCCTCAAGCTCTGTGACCCCAGGTGGGGGCGAGGGGGTGAGGGCCACTGACAGATCAATTGTAAGGAGCAGAATCCACAGGCACAAAGCCTTCACACAAGGCAGAAGGATCGAGAAGGAGAAGCATTACCATGAGCTCCTTACCATGAGCTCCTTTGTCATTTTATCTTACTGCGGAGGACAATCTAATCAGGTTCTGGAAACAGCAACAATTCAGATTAAAGAGATGAAAATGGACTCTAGCTGTCAGCAACATTAATGTCTTCTTATCTTCATCTAAGGAAAAGATTCCCTACCCACCCCTGAGGCCAGGACCTGAGGGTGTGGCAGGCTTACCTCCGGTGTGAAGCGTAGTTCCCTGTGATATGGCCAGAGCCGTCACAGCCAGGCGTGGGGCACCTGCAGAAGAACGCAGAACTGGAACCAGAGCCCATGAAGCTGTTTAGCCCCGGCCCAGAGCCCTGCGACCCCCAGAGGAAAGCCTTCTGGGCTCAGCCCTTGAGTGGGCCCATCCACATTTCCTTGTCCACAGAGGAATGTCACCCCTGTTCTCCTCAGCTGCCCACTGCCAGCAACAGGGTGTCTGATGTGATCATCTCAGGGTTTTAGTACTTTGCTCCCCAGTCTCCCCAAGGGAGACCAGGAAGTCTGAGATGCGAGCAGCCAACTGCTGCTCAGGATGGGTTTACACTGAGACACCCAAGCTGGGCACTGGGACAGGCCTACAGGGCGCACTGCCCCCGAAGGACACGATGGGCTCCCAACTTGCACTTCTGTAGGGTCTAGGCTGTACTAAAGGCATTCAGAACATATCTGAGCCATAAGTTTAAGTATGAGCACTCCAGATCCTAAGACCAGTTTGTCTTCTTGGACAGGCTGGGAGCTTGCCCTCACCTAGGGTTGCCCCCACAGGCTGGTAAATGAACAGAGGCTTTCTGAGTACCGCTGCATAGCAGATGGCGCTGGCCATGCCAGGCCTGGCTATTGTGTAGCGTGACCACAGAGTTCACACAGCCAGTGGCTTACAGCAGAGAGTAAGGAGGAGAAACGCAAAACACAAAAGTCCAACTTTATATGCCCAAAAATACTTGATGAATTATCACATAAGGTGGTAAAAAAAATTCCACTTTAATATTACAAGCACGGATGTCATTTTCTTCCAAATGTCCACTGAGGAAAAAGATGTGAGTTCCTGCTGGCATTACAGAGTAGGAGAGAAGGCTTGATTCTGCAGGCAGACCCTAACCCCCATCAGGCCTGCTGTCTGTGCCGCCTCTCACGGGCATCCTGACCCTGCGAGAGCCAGACAGAAGTTCAGTCCTTGTGTCCAGATCACCTGCTACTCGTGGGCACTTTGCTGCGGTGCTCAGACCCCAGGGAGGACATCCCACTTTCTGTACTGACGGCCCTTCCTCACCAGTCTTCCACCAGAACACATGACATCTGGCCACTGGGCAGGACATCTCGCTCGGAGGAAGACAAAGCTGGGCACTGCCTGGAGCCCAAAAGGCTACGACGGCACAGCAGGGCTGGCCCCACCTCTTGCAACCTTGTCTTCGACCCCTAGGAGTTTTCTTGGGGTTCCTCCTGGGGAGACTCAAATTCCTTCATCCTCGCCCCGTGGGCCACGCATTGGATACTTTGCTGTACAGCCCAGAGAACTGAAGGTGGCCTGCCTCTCCTTCCTGAGTTTGCAGCTGTTCAAGTGGCCACTTGGGGCTCCAACTCCTTGTGTCAGTGGCAGGAAAGCAGCAGGTAGAGCTCACGGTCAGCGTGGTGGGCAAGTGGCCACTCAGGTGGCGAGGGTGACAGACCCACAGTGGCTCCAGGCCTCGAGGGGGATAATAGCAGCAGAGCAGATACTCTTGATGGCATCTGTGAGCAAGTCTCAGGTGAGGGTGTAACTCCCTGGGGCCGGCACGTGCTAACACACGGGAGGCCACACTGCATTTCTCACTGAGGCCTGATTCAATGGCTTTTCTCAAGTCGTGTCCAGGAGAGGAAAGTGCTCACATAGTCAGAGGAGCAGGCGTCCCTTCTGCAGGCCCCTGTGGCCCTGTGGACCCCCAAGGTCAGCTGCAGGAGTCTGGAGCCACCTTCACCACTCCCACCCCCTGCTTCTGAGTGCCCCACCTGAGCAGAAAGGAGCGCCATGTCTGAGGAGCACCTCTGCCTTGGCGATACACAGCAGGTATCACCTCTCTAAGCCCTACCCCTGTACTAGGGACAGGCCTCCTCACCCTGCACAGAGCCTGTCATGGCCACGGCCTGGCAGGCATGTGGCTGCAACTCAACTCCCAGAGCAAGACGAGCTGATCGGCCTGAGGGCGCCATGCCCTCTTAGCCCTGTGCCTAGAGTCTTTGACTTGGAATTCACTTAAAACACAGAAAACAGATCATCTGACTGTCTCTGCAGCCAGGTGTAGACAGGGGGGTCATGAAAGGAGCCTCGTTTGCCCCAAGGCCACCCTCACCCATGGCTGCCACGATGCTGATCAGGAGGAGCCAGTGCCCGATGCCCCCTCAAACTGGAGGGGTCAGAGAGCAAGGAGGCTGGTACGTCAGGACACGTGGGGGCACTACCACCATCGTCCCAAGCTCATGCAGTGGTCTGAGTGAGGAGAGGAAGTGGCCTCCTGTGGAAAGTCCGCTGAGGGAGAGTGGAGTTTCTGAAGGAGCCTGGGGGCCTTGGCTGGCAGCCCAATCCTTGCTGGTGCTGATGAGTGATTCATTTTCACACATGGGAGACTTTTGATCGTTATTTCTAAAGTGTGGGCTAAAGTTCTTCACAGGCTCTTCGTCTTAAAAGAGCACCAGCTCTCCCAGTTGGCCACGTGTCCAGGCCCGGATGGTGCCAAGCTCCTTCCCATCAGCCCTGAGCATCCACCTCGCAGGACAGAAAGGACACTGTGACATTTGGGGCCACTGAGTGCACGCAGCCACAATTCTCACTCTCAAATTATTCAGGCCCCCAAATGGGAACTAATGGAAACTAATCATAGAAAAGAAAACAGAACTGGAAAAGGAAGAAGGGTTGCAAGAAAGATGGCAAGAGAAGAAGGAACAGGAGAGAGGGCAGTCCCAGAGGCTGCAGGAATGAGTGTTTCATCTCTGGGTTTCCAGGGCTAGACAACGTGGGTGGGGAAAATGAATGAATAAATTAATGTGTGAATCTGCTGTGGTGATCTAAGCCTCAGAAAATGCTTATGTTGAAGCTCTTAACTTCCAGAAAGGAAATCGAGATGGTGCACCCTATCCCCATTTGTGGGAACTGAAGGGGCTGATGACACACTCCTCCTGGCTGCTGGGGCCAGACCAGCCTCCACAGAGGAACGGAGACACGGCTGCTGTTGGGAGGCTCTGGGTTACCTGCAGCTTTCTGTCCGGCTCTGAGCCAGCTAAGGTCCCTAGAAGCCTTGAGCAATTTCATTTCCTCATCTTAGAGGCACCAGTGCCTGGGCTCCTGTCCGGTCCCAGAATGGAATGAGCCAGAGTGTGTTGGCCTGGAATCAGGGCCCCTAACACAGAGGCCTGTGGGAGGGAGGGACACCCCTGGAGAGGGGTGACCTAAGGGGACAAGAATGAGACCCCCTTCCTCCAAGGCCTCAGCTCAATCCCGGTGCCCAAGACGAGCTCCCTATGGCTCAGGGTCACACAGGCTGTGGAGTCACAGCTCAACTGGAGGCATGAAAACCAAAGGCAATAACAGTCCCTGACTCCAGCCGCAAGAGGACACTCATACCTGGAAACCTCTAGGTGCTTGCACCTGGCTGTGCAGGGCTGTCAAGCAGGGCTATCGTGTGCCTGAGGGGCCTGCCCTGCCCACGCATTATGGGCAGGGAGGTGCAGAAGCAGAAACAGGTGGGCCCAGCAAAGGGAAGGTAAGGGCATGGAGGGAGGGTATCAGGGCCAAAGCAGAAGCAGCCGGAGCATCGCAGGAGGAGGGAGGGCAAGGAGCTTTCTCTTCATTATCATTTAGCAAGACACGCACAGCCTGTGGCCTGTCGAGCCACGGCAGGGCTTACATTTCTTGGACGATTCTGGGCTTTTCCCAGATCTCTAGGGCAATGGGAAAGCAGGCCCAGGCAGCCCTGTCGGGGGTCTTCAGGAGAGGCTGGAGGATGGGGAGTGGGGTAAGAGCAGCGCAGGGGCCTGCAGCAGCCCCAGCCCCCAGTGGAGAGGCAAGCGGCAGAGCTCAGAGCAGGGGGACACAGACAGAGCAGCCCCAGCCAAGCAGAATCGGCCCCTCCAAGGCCCTGCCCCTCTGCCCGTCTCAGGAGAGCTGGGGCTAGCTGAGGCTTGGCACCTTGGAGAAGGCGGATTTTGGCAGGAGCTCATGGAAGGAGAGCAAAGCGAGGGTGCCGCCCAAGAGACAGGTCAGGGAGCGCAAACATACTTGAGGTCAGCAGAGTGGGCAGCCATGAGGTTTCTGAGGCTCTTGTCAGCAAGAGGGCAACCAGAGAGGCTGAAAGAGAAGAGATGGGATATTGGGGTAAGCCAAAGAGGGGGAGCAGAGGAGGAGAGGAGGAAGACCCACCACGAAGCACCCAGGCCAGGCCAGACCCGAGCGGGAGACAAACCTGCGGTGGGAGGCATAGTTCCCCGTGATGTGGCCAGTGCCGTCACAGCCAGGGGTGGGACAGCTGGACAAAGGAAAAAGAGCGTCAGACCGGAGAGCGGTGTGCACCCGCAGGCCTGCCCCCTAGGCCGAGCCTGCTCTGGGAGGGCGACTGGGGCCCACTCCTGGCTCACCCACAGGCTCCTCCTCCCCTCCGTCCTTGAGGCACAGCCTGCGCCTCTCAGACTGGAAGTTTCTTCCACACAACTTAACTCAAGAAGAAAAGATAACCAAATTAAAGTCGAGCTGAAAGTTAGGGTGCCTCTGATGCCCACGTGCTGTGCGTGCACATGCACATGCCTAAGAACATGGTGGCAGGAAGCTTCTTCCCTCTTCCAGGCCCTGGAGCAGCAAGGCTGTCCCTGGATCCAGCCATTCCCAGGAGGACAAGCCACAAGTGTGAGGGTACAAGTGAGGTTCCAGGTGGGGAGAAGAGAGACCCCAGAAATGGACGCTGAGCACATGTGAGAGCTGGATCACCTGTGTGGCGGGTGCCGGGCACAGCCTCTGACAATCCCCTAGAGAGGTGGCTGGCAATGAAGGTTGACCAGAAGGTCACTGACATCTGACTCACATCTATCAGCAACTCTGCCTGTTCCAACCCCATGAGGACCAGCTCAGGCACGCAGCATCAGGGCCAGCCAGGCTGACAGAGATGAGTGTGGCAAGTCCTAAGGCAGTACATTCCTGGCCTCAGGCATGAAGCCCAGGACAGAACAAGCCCAGCTGTGGCCTCAGGGGGAGGGCCGGCCCCTGGTTGCCCAGAGGGCTTCCTGTGAAGCTTTCTGCTAAACTCTTCCACTCTCTCCCTGCTCTGCTCTGTCCTGCTTGGTGAGCTTGGCCAGGGGATTTCTTTGCTCTTAATCACTTTTAGAAGATTGCAGTAAAGCCCAGCACAGAGCAAAGGTGTTGGGAAGCCTCTGACTGCCCTGGCTCCTGTCGCAGGCTGCCTGGCTCAGGGTGGTCAGGACGTGTCGGGGGAAGGCTGAGCAGACCTGGCCGCCATGGGTTGGGACCAGGGCCTGTTCCTCCCCAGGCCACAGAGGGTCTCCTAGGAGTTGTGTCAGCCAAAGCAGAGACTTACGTGAGCAGCTCCTTCTTTATGTCCTTGGAGAGAAACTTCAGCTTAAAGTTGGTCAGGGTGACTTCCCCCGGATACTTCCGCTCCTCAAAATTCTCTTCCGGCACTTCCTGGTCATCTGCTTCAGAAGAAGCAAAAGAATGGGCTGCTGGCTCTGACTGCAAAAAACCAGCAGGGAGATGTTTTAACCGGCTGGCGGGGAGGCCTGGGCGCCCAAGCCGGTGGGCGAGGGAGAGGGACCCTTCAGGGCAGTGTCCACAGAAGCATTTCCCGGAGTCTCCTGTCTTGTGGACAAGGGAAGAAGGCATAACTTCCCCCAGCAAAACACAGAAGACAACAACCCTGAGGGGCTGGATTCCTCCCCGACTTCAGCCAGAGCTCCTGAGCCACCCTAGAAACGAGGAGGCCTGGGGCTGCCCAGTGTGGCAGGCTCCTGACACCCTCTTTGGCCTCAGGCATGTGGGTCCCGCCACCATGTCACTCCATAGTGTAAACATCAGCACACCATTCCCTTCAGAGCCAGGGATGGCACTCAATAGACACTAGGCACTAAATAAGTGTTCCTGAAATGTCCTGAAGATGAGATGGCACAGTGAGGGTAATCACATACAAATTACGAGGCTGGGTGCTGCGGCTCACGCCTGTAATCCCAGCACTTTGGGAGGCTAGGGCAGGCGGATCACAAGGTCAGGAGTTTGACACCAAACTGACCAATTGACCAACATGGTGAAACCCCGTCTCTATTAAAAATACAAAAGTTAGCTGGGCGTGGTGGAGCCCAACATGGTGAAACCCCGTCTCTACTAAAAATACAAAAGTTAGCTGGGCGGGGTGGGGCGCATCTGTAATCCCAGCTACTCAGGAGGCTCAAGCAGGAGAAATGCTTGAACCCAGGGGACAGAGGTTGCATTGAGCCAGGATGGTACCACTGTACTCCAGCCTGGGCAACAAGAGCAAAAACTCCATCTCAAAAAAAAAAAAAAATACAAATTACGGTAAGTACAGTGATCTTGACACCACCTGGCCTGACATTCCCACCAGGGTGATGCCTTGACCACAGCAGGTACTTGATAAAAGCTTCAAACTGAATGCTGGGTATGGAGGCTCAGGGCTCTGGACACAGGTAAGCAGGGCGCAATCCCTCCCACAGAGGGGCCTGGGGCCCATGGAGGGGCCGAAGGCCAGCATTCTGCAGGGTGCTGTGACCAGCTGCAATTCCAGTCCTGACAAGTACTCACATGTGTCCCAGGCAAGTGGCTCAGGCTCTTGGGGCCCAGATGCCACACCTTCAAACTTGAGATAACAGCAGCCCTTCATGGGTTTGGGGGGGTCCAATGAGGAAATACCCATGAAGCACATAGCCCAGCATAGTAACAGTCTTTGGATAATTGGGAGTGGACCTTGTTGTGGGCTCCCAGGCTGCTCCTCTATAAAATGGGGTGATTGTGAGGTCCACCTGAGGGTGGGATGAGGGCCAGTGAGGAATTCTGGCTCCCACTGAGCCTGGATTATGGAGGGGGCCTCACCCAGCCCCCACCCTTCACAGGGCCCTAGCTCCACCTCCCTCATTCCTCCTTGGGGGTCTGGCCCTGCTCCTTCCACAGGGACCCCTTCCACCTCCTGCGGGGCTTGCAAGGAGGGGAAGGAGAGAGAGGGGGTCCGGCCAGTCTCACAGATGCAGCTGGTACCACCTAGACCCTGGGCTGCCCTCAGAGCTGGACTTTGCCCTTCAGGACACACCTCCTCGGGAAAAAGCCCAGAATTCGCTTGGCTCTGCGGGCTCTTCTTTCACGTTTTAAGAAACAACTAAAAAGGGAAGGATCCCCTGCTTCCCAGACCACAGTTCCAACACCCACGCCAGGTTGGTCCTGGTCTCAGGGACCTGTTACTGCCCACCATGGAAGATCCTAAGCCCAGGACCCCTGAGCCAGGAGTTCTCTCACGGGCTCAGCCCAAGGAGCCAAGTGGCTGGGCCCCCATCTGGACAGCAGGTCAGCTCTGCAGGGTGCCAGGAGGCTCGAAACCCAAGAAACCCAAGCTTTTCCCCAATCAGTTCCTGGGATCTGAAAGATGCCCTTCTCCTCCCCATGCTTCCAGAATGCCCACACTGGTACTGGCCACCATGCTCCACAGGGGTGAGCAGACCACCTCCTGCTCTACAGACAAGCCGACAGCTTGGCCCTGCTGCGAAGATCCCACCCAGAGGGTGGGCCCCTGAGTCCCAGCTGCTCAGAAGATGAAGGGCTCTTCATAGAAAGTGATGGCTCCCCCAGAGCCTCTGCAGGAAGCCTGTGAGGAGGAGCTGCCTTGAGATGCCAATGTTACAACAGCCTCAGGCAGGGCAAGCTGGCTGCAGCCACCTGACTGCCGGCCCGGGCGCCCTGCACCCACCTCCTCAGGCTCCTCCTCTCTCAGGCGGCTAGGCTTGGTGTAGTCCAGGGGCCGGTCCCACTCGTCCTGGCGGGAGGCCTGGCTGGACTGGGGAGAGGTCATGGAGCTGCTGGGGGCGCTGGAGCTGCTCTGGCGCTGAGAGGCGTCGGGAGACTTCACACCAGGGCTGCTGCTGCAGCTGCTGCTGCTGGGGAAAGTGTTTTCTCGCTTGCGGTGTTTGTGCATGCTTAAGTCCAGGGTTCCGTTTTCATCCACCTCAATATCCACAGACTGTAATTGCAAAGGTGAAATCTGTTAGCCATTCCAGCCCCTTCCCGTGTGTGCCTTCCGTACATTTGAATCAAACACACAGAGTCCAGAACACTGATTCCCATGTAAGAAAACAGAACAAGAACAGACAGGCAGTGAGAGAAAACGATCCTTATTTTCCACGAAGAAGGCCCTACAATTCCTCCTGCCTCCCAACAGCACAAAAACCAGTACCCTGAGACATGTCATAAACCAGGGGAAAACTAGGTCCTCTGGTCAAGGAGAAGGAGTCAGCAACCAGAAGACTCTGCGGGAAACATGTGTGAACAGGGCACGCGCACCACCCTGGACTCGGACAGAAGCACAAGGGAATGTGTGTGCACCACCCTCAGGCTCAGAGCGAGACGCATGGGACGGCGCGTGCTCAAACTCACGCTCAGAGGGAAGCACGGGGGAGCCTGTGCTCACAGCCCCCGGTCTCCCTTCACTCCGCGCACAGGGTTCTCGTGGCGAACCCCTCCAACAACCTCTGCAGTCCTTGGGCCATGGCCAGGAGGGAGAGAAGTAAGCATGAGAATTGCCAACTAGACGCTAGCCATTCCTAGGGATATTTTGTGCAGGGAGCGGACAGGTCTGACTGCAATTCCACCAACTCACCTCTCCAAAGAAAGGCTCTGTGCGGAGGCACTAACCTTGCTGGGCAGATCCTGTGGCTTCGTGCTGAGGTTCTCGGGCATCTCCCAGCAGCGTGTGGAGAGGTTCAGGATGGCGGTGGCGGCCATGTGTGCAGCTTCGGCGTCGTGCGAATAGTCAAAGCCTGCAGAAGAGGATGAAGTGCTCCTCACATAACTACTGGAGGGGCTGTGCCTGGGGGAAGAGGCCTTTGGGAAAGGTTTAGCTGCAAAAAGGGAACAACACCAGGCTGATATACAACTTGAAAAGAGGCAGCAATACAGACAAGTCAGTGGGGAGGAGGACTTTGGGAGGGATGGGAGGGCCCAGGACACAGCTGTTGAGGTGGGCCAGGGGCTTGGCCACCATCCCACTCCCAGGCCCTCAAATACCTCACTCCCACCCACCCTCCTTTAGGGAACTGAGGAGACGATCTCGTTTCTGGCTCAATGAAAACATGGGCAGAAAGAGTAAAAGTCTCCAGGACATCCCAGAAGCCCTGATATTTCAAACAAAAATAACTTGTCTATCAGTAACTGAAGCATTCTGTGAATAGGATAAGTGTTCTGCCACATCACCCAAATGGGAATTTTGTCACATCATCTCGAAAGGGTGTACTCATATTTAGGCTGATTTGGTGTCCCCAGTAATGGACACTGCCTTAAAAAAGCAACATTATTGCTCAAATGAACATGACAATGAAGGCATGGAAGGTCATCTTTTCTAGTAATTGTACTGTAGCCACAAAATCACTCTCAAACACGATGTTCTCAGTAATCACGATGTCAGCAGTATATCCACAAAAGTCCAGATATATGGAAAATTAATGGTGGGGTTCCCTCTCCACTGGCACCGTTGCATTCCTGCATCCAAGCAGGCATGGGTGTGCCCAGAGCCAGGAAGTCCTCTATCCTAACAAGCAAGTTCTGTCAAAGCTAGGAAGAGAGGCTCGCACCCCACTGGCAGCTGCATCAATCAGTACTTTTATTATTGTCATATAGGAAACTCGTCACTGTCGGGTTTGGGGCTGACGAGATGCCATTCCCAATCTCACGTGTACATGCAGTGCTTTTCCATTTCACCAGCATTCCCAGGGCTAATGGGCTTATTCCACAAATTAGAGTGGTGAGTGACAAGAAAAGACTGAAAGGATTGTTCTCAGATTTGTAGGAATGATTCTGTCAGTACAATTACCCAGAAAATTTGTTACTAATTTCACAAGCAACACATCGTATCCAGTAAGTTGTCCCCCCCAGGAAAGCAATGGCTTCCTGCCAGGATAAGGCCCTGCCCAGAGGCAGTGTGGGAAATGGACCCCAGCTGCATTGGGGTTAAACAGGTTGCATGAGGACAGTGGGGAGAGGGGGATCTCCCAGGGTGAACCATGTTGGTGAACTTGCTCTGGTCTTTGGACATACAGGCCCATAACAGATCTGGATTTTGTTTCACAAATAATTAGGAGACACATAAATGTTAACAGTGAACATGAAGGTGGCAGCATGATTGAGATGCAGGCCCCAAGAAAGCCACCACAGTGCCCACTGAGACAGCTAAGATCTCCAGCCTGCATCGTGGTCCCCCCATGAGAGCAGAGATTCCCTCCCGACTAGCTCCTCGAGAGGGTCCCTCCTCCACTGCCCCCTGAATCCTGCCCCTCCCAGGAGCGACGCAGAAGAGAAACAAGAACGATTCTCCCCAACTTACATTGGAAGGCTTTAGGTGAGGTTTCGCTGGTCTGAATCTTTGGGGCAAGCATGCGTTTGCCAAAAACCTGAGCATCGAAACTTGCGTAGTCAAAGGTGACCTTGGAGAACTTCTCCAGCTCCTTGGCCAAGTTGGCCCTGGGCGTGGCGGGGGCCACATTGGGCCGGTAGCTCCCATATGGAGGGACCTCGAGCTGTTTCACGAAGCACATGGGCCTGGGGTGCAGTACAGGGATGCACAGCCAGTGAGATGGGACCCGGGGTTCCCATGCCGCCCTCCCCAACTCCAATCCATAGCCCAGGCAGGGGCCTCACAGCATCTAGTGAGGAAGGAGACTCGGGGAGGCACTCCCCTGCACTGTCCGCCACTGCAGCTGGGCAGAGTTCCACCTCCCAGGGTCAAGGGCTCTCAGAGCAGGCCTGTGAAGAGTTGCCTACAGCGCAGAAGCAGTAGGACTCTCGGATAATCAGTGGCCTGTTCTGCTGATGGCATCAGCTAGAGGTGGGCAGACCTAAGATATTCCCCAGAACTTAGAAGAGCAGGTTTCAAACAGCTCAGCTACAACTAGAGTGAGGACTGGGCGGGAGCCAACGTCACGAAGCCCAGGCCAGCAGCAAGCCACTCCAGCCACGTAGGCCAGCAGCAAGCCACTCCAGCCACGTAGGCCAGCAGCAAGCCACTCCAGCCACGTAGGCCAGCAGCAAGCCACTCCAGCCACGTAGGCCAGCAGCAAGCCACTCCAGCCACGTAGGCCAGCAGCCACTCCAGCCACGTAGGCCAGCAGCAAGCCACTCCAGCCACGTAGGCCAACAGCAAGCCACTCCAGCCACGTAGGCCAACAGCAAACCACTCCAGGCAGAATCACCTAGAACTCCCCAGCGAGGAGGAAGTTGAGGGATCTGGAGGAGGCAACCACTAGACCGAGGAGCCGTGTCAGGTGTCTTTCTGAGGAGTGGCCTCAGGGCCAGGCCTGACCCTTCTTCACTCAGCCAGGGACTCAGCCCTCAGTTATCCTCTTCTTAAAGTCGTGCTGACGTGGACCCTCAAGGAACTGCTGGGCTGGTTAACAACAGCCATGAAAAGGCTACTACAAGCACTCAGTTCATGGCCACTAACGCTCTTGGAAGACTTCAGGATTTTACAAGCACAAAAGATGGCATGAAGAAACTGGCCCAGAAGGCACAGGAGGTGGGAACACTGGTGGTAGATGCTGAAGACCACACAGGCACAGAGGGGCTTCTGAACCTGGCAGCTCAGGGGAGAGGAGGTCCCGGCAAGCAGCCATGGCTTTCTCGGTTCCTGTCTGGACCAAGCAGTGACTTCCATCTGGAAAGTGTGCAATCAGTAGAATTAAGAAGGAGCTAACAGTGTCAGCCTGCAAGGTTCTGGGTGCTACAAGAACTTAAGTGTGGACTAAGAACACAGCCCAGCACAGAGGACCTCCAGGCCAGCCCTGCAACCATGACCAGCTGTGATGGGCCTGGGAAAACCAAACACTACCAGGAATGGTGTGTTCTCCTTCTCCAGGAAGGGTGGGGGCCCCAGGATGGACCCTGGCCCTGGTAGCAGATAGAAAAGTTGCTAAGAGTGAGGCCAGCAGGGAAAAAACTAACTTTAAACTTAACACTGGGTCAGGTGCGGTGGCTTATGTCTATAATCCAAGCACTTTGTGAGGCCAAGACAGGTCTCTTAAAGCCAGAAGTAAGAGACCAGCTTGGGCAACATAGTGAGACCCTCTCCACACAAAACGGTAACATAATAGCCAGGCATGGTGGCACACCTGTATTCCCAGCTGCTCGGGAGGCTAAGGTGAGGATGACTTGAGACCAGGAGTTTGAGGTTACACTGAGTTATGATTGGCACCACTGACTCCAGCCTGGGCAACAGAGTAAGACCCTATCACTAAAAATAATAATAATAAATTTAATGCTGGTACTACTTTTGATGGCTTCCTTGTCCAAGGCTTCCATCAGAATCTGCAGACTTATTGTCTGCCGTGCCAACAAAGCTTTGCAAAGCCTGTCCTCACACCCAAAGTTCGACAACCAGAAATGTGGGCCAGGTAGAATCAACAGAGCCTCATGGGAGGCCTCCCCCACCCAGCCACAATCTCTAGCGTTCAGTGAGTACTCACCACAGGCTGAGGGCGGCAGGGTGTCACCTGAGCCTCATGAGTGACTTAGTTTGTTGTCCTACTTTTATAAGTGAACAAACTGAGGTCCTAGTCTCAGGGAATACAGTCTCCAAGGCTGGAGCCTTTTTGACACCCCTCCCTGGCCTCACCTGGCCTCACACGGGGGCCAGATCTGTGGTTTGACATTTTATCGGTGATTTAGATCAAAGAGGGAAAGGATCGAATTAGCAACTGACAAGAAGCTGGAGGGAACAGCAGACAAGAGAGAAAAAGCAGCTTCGAACCATAGTGAGAGCCAGCTGGCGGAAAGCAGCTTGCTGGGACCCGCAGGGCTGAAGGTGCCCCATGGGTGGGATGGCAAGGATGCCCATACAGCAGGAAGGCAGTCTCTGTCCTCCACCCAGAGATCCCATGTGTGGGAACTGCACCTTCAGAGGAACCCTCTGGAGCAGGACAGGGAAGGGCCTGGGGATGATACAGCCAGGTCAGCGGCCAAGGTCATCTGGCTGGGGCTTTGCCAATTATGTGCCAGGGAGGGGCCAGGTCAGGTGGGCTCTAAAAGGAGGCGGACAGTGGAAGGGGCTACGCAGTCATTCACACTCACCCCAGCCAGGGTCTCCCATACTCTTGTTTGGTGAAACAGACATGGAACAGGGGTCTGAGAACTGGGGAGGTGGAGCTGTGTATGAGTTCTAGTTCCTCAGGGACGTGGGGAGCTGGATGAGGACAGCAGGTGGAAGTGTCCTCTTCGACACTGAGTGCCTCAGGTCCAAGGACTCAGAGGGGACACTTTGAAGCCAGGAAGGCTGGGCAGGGTGGCCTTGAGCAAGTCTCTGAGCCTCTGCCACTTACTTCTTAGAGCCACATGGAAGGAGGGGACACTAATCGGACATATTCTGAATGATCCTTTGTGCACAATATATACACAAATATACAGGTGCACACACACACGGACTTGCACGCACATGTAAACATACTTGCACATATGCAAACACAAACAGTAATGTGAACATGGACACACGTGCTCACACACACACACGTTCACACATGCTCACGCACACTCCCACATGCTCATACATGCTCACACGCGCTCACACACGCTCACACGCGCTCACACACGCCTACTGCTATCTCAGAACCTCCGGGGCCACAAAGCACTCTGGGGAGCAAGGGCTGCACCCGCCCCTCTTCCTTGCCTTGGGGTCTGTCTTGGGTCTGGGAGGGAGAGGCAGGACAACCATGGAGCTTCTTGGACAGCTATGGTCCTTGGCTGGTGCAGTCTGCTCTCTCCAAACAGGACTAGCATCTCCACAAATGAATCCTCAAGTAGCCTTAAGTGGGCATCTCAGACGACTCTGAGGAGGCAGAGCACTGTGCCCAAGGCAGAGGCAGCCATGCAGGAGTTTGTGCTTTGGCTGAGGCACTGGTGAACATGGCAGACATGAGACCCTGTCCTGTGTGCCCCCAAAACTGCCCCACAGTTCTGTTCCTGGGGGGCCTGGGGCATGTACACACTCACATGCACACACACTCACATGCACATACATCCTGGGGAGACTGAGGAGCTCCCTGCAGGCATTTGGGAGGCAGCTCTTCAGTTCCGTGGCTCATCTCACCCACCTGAGGATCCGATCAGAATTGGAGCTATTCTTGGAAGGATCTCCTGTCTGCGGCTGCTGCTTCTCATGGGATTTGGCTAATTTTTCAGCGGCAGCAATGGGACACCCAGACAAACTACAGGAAGGAAAAGGAGGGGTATCTGAGCCTTGCCCTCCACACCTGTCCTGTCCTGGGTGTCTCTGTGTGTGCTGGTGTCTCACAGCAAGGTTATTCAGATGTGAGAACTCCAGGTGTGCAAGAAGCCCAGAGCCGGGAATAATCCTGTCTCTCTACAGGACAGGGCTTTTCTCTCTGGCTCTGCCCTTGAGCCCTCAAAGTACAAGCTGCCCAGTCAGTTTCTGTTTTGGAACATTCTACGCCAATGACACACAAAGATGAAATATATCCTAAAGGCCTTGAAAACTCTGGGCAAAGATGCCTCCTCTGCATGGGTCTGGGTGACAGGCTTGCCCCTCACCCACTTCCTCTCCCTTCCCAACTTCCAGGGCGGGATTCTGCAACCATCTCTGGCTCTTGTTCCATTAGCTGCCCCAGGGAAGCCCAGGGCCCCACTTGGACCACAGCGTGGGCATTGACCCTGGAAGACTCACACCCAGGAAAGTACTCAGTCTAAGACATGGAGGCAGCAGCTTCATCTGTCAGAATTAAGCCAACTGTGAGCTCCAGTGCCAGTCCCTCAGCCAGCCCGGGGAGGTGACGTAATGGGGAATTGGCCTCTTTTAAAATGAAGTGACCTCAAAAGCTCTGGCAGTCCTTTCAGCTGAGCATATGCCTGCTGGGGCAAAGGCACATCCCACTAAGACCATGGCCACCCGTGGCACTCTGGGTAAGCCTGGGGGAGTAATCCCCCTCGGCACAGAAGACCAGCCAACAACTATACCTTGAGGGTGGTCTGGAAGCTGCACGTCCACCTGGGCCTCAGAACTTCCACAAAGCAGCCCAGAGCACAGCCCCGGCCTGCCAAGGTTACTGCTTGTATCTGTCCTTTCCACTCGTGAGCAAGAGCCAGTGGACAGGGTTTCCTGAATGTGGCCAGGACACAAAGCATTCACCAGGCTCTCCACGTGGTCACTGCACCTCTCTTCACAGAGGGTGCAGGCTCACTCCTGGGCAGGTCGCCCCCTGGTCTCTTGGGACCCCAGCTCACAGGGGTGTGGGCAGCAGGACCCCTGGGTGACGGTGCCTCCAGCTGCTGCTCTGCCACGGCAAGGCCCCTCACATCCCAGGTGTGCCCCAACCTTATACCCACTCCTCAGGGCAGCAACACACAGGGAGCTACCTGGCAGGCCAGATCCCCATCCCACATCATGGCTCAATGCCCAGGCAGAGACACACAGGCCCAACCCAGGCGCCCTACCACACATGGGCCCCCACCTCAGCCCCACACGGCCCACTGTGGCCCGGCTCCGTCCAAGTACCTTCTGTGCGTGTTGCGGTTGCTGTTCACGTGACCCTGGCCCGTGCAGCCGGGAGTGGGGCACTTCAGCACGTTCTCATGCATGGCTAGGACTGAAAGAGAACCGGGGTGGAGGGAGCCAAGGCTGTCAGAGAATCTGGGGAGCACCCGCTGTGTGTGGGGAGCTTGGGCCGAGAAGGACGCAGGAGCCCTGTCCAAAGGTTGCTGCTTGGTAGGCAGTTGGGGAACACGGCAGTTTAGGGCAGCAACGCAGGGCAGCTCCAGCCCCCAAGAGCCTGCAGACATGCGCACCCCCCACCACTGTGTTCCCTCCCTCCTGTGGCAGAAGCCAGATTCCGCTTTTAAACCTCTCATTCTGTGGTTTGCTCCTTTAAATTTAATTTTCACAATTACTGCTTCTAGCCTAAAACTAAGAACAAGTATTTGCTTCCAAGCTTTCAGAGCACAGAGGTTGCTGCAAGAACTCTGCCTTCCCCACTTAGTGGAACGAGCCGTCCCCTCCCATCAATCTGGGACTGTGACCCAGGTTGTAGGGCCCCAGCCTCGGAGGGCTCAAGTTTGGGCTGGGGCCGTTTGTGGGTGAGCATCTGGACAAACCAAAGGGACAGGTTACGGCCTGGGGCAGGCCACGCCTCCCACAGACACCACCCACACACCACAGAGGCAGCCTTAGCTCCACAGTTACGGCTAACGCTGCACAGGGCTACTCACTCTCTGGGGGGATCCTGTCCTTGTGGGGACAGCCGGAAAGGCTGCGGTGGTGAGGGTACAGGCCAGTAACATGGCCAGTGCCATCACAGCCTGGCGTTGGGCACTTGATCTCACGCTTCTCAGCTCTCGATGGATCTAAAACATAAGTTGCATCAGTTAGAGCCGGGAAGCTGGGTGGTGAACAGGGAGGGGCAGGGGAAGCTCGTGAACCTTCTCTCTGGCTGTCCAAGACTGCCGGTGAGCTTGAACAAGGCCTGGGGCTGCGCATGAGGGGACCCTGAAGAGACCGCCCTGACTATCCCAAATAACAGCATGTGCAGTGTTCTAGGGAGGGCAACCCCGAGGGCAGCTGCAGGCCTCTTTCCTCTCTCCTCTGACAGCGCAGGGGCCTCAAGGGTCAGCCTTCTGCCTAGAGAGGTCAAGGCGTTTGACAATATTCCTGCCAGGAGATGTCCTGGGATTTGCAAAAAGAGGACAAAGGGGTTCAGTAACTCACCCAAGGCTGCATGACTAATGTCTGCCTGGGCAGAAACTTAAGCCCAAATCTCAGTTACTGACTTCGTCTAGCCCTGCAAACCCAGGCCGGTCACTGCAGTGTGTAGGGACCAGCAGGAACACAGAGGACCCTCGTAGCAGAGCTGACGTCTCAGCGAAACACCTTCTAGACGCGCTGTCCCCTTTGGGAGGGTACAGAGGTCACAGAGCCACACTCAGAGCCCCCACCCCAGAGGGCAGGGCCGCAGCAGTGGGCTCCAAAGGGAAGGAACCCTTGCTCTGCTGCCCTAAGTTCGAGGGAGCAGGAAGCCAGACTTCCACCCATGTGGACAGGCAGGGGTGTCCTGAGGGGCTTCAAATCCGTGCCCAAGCCCTGTCTCCTGGGCTTGCCACCCTGTCCCCAGCCTCTGTCCCGAATTCTCGCTGCAGCTGCGTGATCGGTCCTCAGAGCCATTCCCACTCTCCACCCACCACACGTTTACGTTGCGCAAACACAGCCCAACTCAGCTCTGCCCAGTGTTCTCAGCCTGGCTGCCTTTGGACCCAAGCACTGAAAATCTATTCCTGAAAACAGGAAACCTGCTGGGTCCCCCTATATCTGTCCCACAGGTCTGAGACCCTCGAACACCTGGGCCTAGAGCTGTCACTGGTGTTTGTGTTCCTTATACGTATCCCACAGAATTCTGCCCTGAGCTGTGCGGCCCAAGCTAGTAACCACACCAGGCCTGTGCCACCTGTCCCTAAGTCTCACCTGCAGCCTGTGTCTCCTTGTGCCCATGGCCACACAAGGCCTCAGTGTGACAGTGCTGACCTAAATCTGGGTCCCCAAAGAGCGGTCCTGCAGTCTGTGTTGCCCTAAAGAGTCTCCCCTCAAGGCCATCCTTGGGTCCATCTCACCCTGAAACTACCTGTGACCCCTTAGTGTCTTTCCCCTGAGCTTGTCTCTTACACATGGGGGTTCCCAGAAAATACACCCCTCGTATCTCCACTGGCCTGGCTGTCATGCCCCTTGAGTTCCATCTCACTCAAGTCTGTCTCTCCCATGACCCAAGTGCACCTTCCCAGGGTTGGCCCCGAATCTGTGTCTCCTCCATTTTTGGTTTCTGGCTCCAGCACCTGAGTCCTCTCCCAGCCCAGTTCTCTCTCCTTATCTGCTCCCAACCTGGTCTCAGCTAACCCTTACAGGGGTAGGGGACTCTTGGAAGACCACTGAGAACCCCCACTGCCCCTGTCCGCCTGGAGAAGAGATGAAGGACTGGAAGCAGGAAAAAGAGACCGAGGTCAGGGCAGCTCCAGTCTCAGGAGAGCAGAGGCCAGGTGCCCACGTGCAGGAGGCCCCCGCACCAGGCCCAGTGGGCCAAAGCTGACCTGGCCAAGGCCTGGCCTCCCTGGCATGGCTGACCAAGGGAGCAGCCCCTGGCCAGCCCTGAATCCTGCACCCCAGGCCCCTGTACCAAGGAGGAATCTGACATGGGCAGTCTGCAGCCAGCCTGTTGCCCAGACCCTGACACCCCATGAACAAAGAAGGCCACAACCATTTACTCAGAATCCATCCTCAGACCTCGGCACTCTGAGCTCCCAGCTGCTCCCCAACCATGTCACCCGGCCAGGCCACTCCCAGCAGCCCTCCTTGTCTATCCTTACCTCCACATCAGGCACTCAGTACGGCTGGGGATGCCTCCCCTAGGCCCTGCATGCTTTAGGGCCAAATCTAGAGGCAGACACAGAGCCAGCGGCTCCTGCTGAGGAGCCCAGGGCAGCCCTCACATCTGCCTGCAGGTCTCCACCCAACAAGAGGGTCAGGATGACCCTGTCACAGCACAATCCCTGCCACAAGTGTGCATCAGGGTGGAAGGAACGGGACAGTCCCCACCCTCTCCGGACAGCAGATGCTGCTGTGACCGGTCACCAGGTTGGGTCACTGTCTCTCCCACCTGGTTCTCAGCTCTGTGTCTCTCTCCGGACGGCTTTATGTACGGCAATGTAGGAGCCCATTTGCTCAGTATCTGACCACAGTCTGTGGTATGCATTTGTCCCTTTGTCTGCTTTTCTGCCTTCCCCCAGTCCCCTGTCCTGTGAGGCCTCTCAGCCTGCATCTGCACAGCTGGGGTGGGGTGAAAGGATGAGTGTGTGGGACCAGGCCACCCCGGACCCCTACCTTTACTGTAGTAGCTCTTCCGCACAGTGTCCAGGGGCTTTGCTGCTTTCCCTGGCTCTCCCAAGCCCAGCTGGCTCTGCTCGGCAGGTGGGCAGCCCGGCTCACAGACTGTGAGCACCTGCTCAGCCTTCAGAGCAATAGCCTGCTCCAGGAGGCCCAGGTTTCCCCGGGTCATCATGTCGTGCATTTCCGACTCGTCAGTGACTGCTGACTTCTGGGAGCGGGTGTCCTCGTCCTTGTCATCATCCGAGCGGACCTCCACAATAACGGAGTACTCAGGCTTGGGGCTGGGTGATTCTGAGCCCCGGAGCTCGGGGGCCTTCTGAGCAGAGACGCGGGAGGCGTCCTCCTGAAAGATCACATCAGGGGCTGCCTCCTCCTCCTCCTCCTCCTCTTCCTCCTCCTCTTCTTCTTCCTCCTCCTCCTCTTCCTCCTCCTCCTCCTCATCTTCCTCCTCCTCCTCTTCATCCTCCTCCTCCTCCTCCTCATCCTCCTCCTCCTCCTCCTCCTCCTCCTCATGACTCAGGATGCCTTTCTGCTTGCTGGACTCCGCACTGGCTACACCCTCCAGGGACTGGGGACACAGGTCCTGGGAACGCTCACTGGTGACTTCCACAACCTCCTCGGCATCCTCTGGCTGGATGAAGAGGCCCTTTTCACCCTCCATGCTGGCAGCTCCCTCTGTGGCCTCCTGAAGCAGGTGCGCAATGCCAGGACCTGGCTTCGCCGCCTGGCCCAAGTCTTCTTCCACCAGGGTCTCTTGAGCAACTTGGCCCAAGTTCAGGAGAGAAGTTGCGATGATTCCCTGGTAGCTGCTATAGCTGCCCTTGGAGGAGCCAGTGGGGCTGCTGATGGGGTTGGATCCAAAATGGGACTTGACGGGGCTCCTTCCTGCACAAAAGCAGAATCAACATGGGGGCCAGAGGGCACGCAGAAAGCCTCATGTCTCCAGCCCTCAACATGCCCTGACCTACCTCTCACTCTTTATACGGGAGCACAGGAGAAACAGGTCAGTCTCCCTCCACCTGACCTACCGCTCACTCTTTATATGGGAGCCCGGGGAAACAAGAAACTCCAGAAGTGGGGGTTTGGTATGGGGGTTTCTGTCAACCCTTCTGCCTGAATCCAGAAATCATGGTGAATATATTTTTGGAGGCAGGTCATGAGCCACTGATGTACTTTTTAAACCGAGAATAACTTTGATACTTTTTACTATTCCTCTCCCATCACGTTTACCTTCCCAAACCAGATAAACCTGCATTTCATACAATGGGGCTTAAACAGCAAATCCGATTTAAAATATATATATATATACTTCACAATATAAAAGCAGTAAATAAGACCAGGCACGGTGGCTCATGCCTGTAATCCCAGCGCTTTGGGAGGCTGAAGGGGGTGGATTACCTGAGGACAGGAGTTCATGAACAGCCTGGCCAACATGGCAAAACCCCGTCTCTACTAAAAATACAAAAATTAGCTGGGCATGGTGGCACACACCTGTAATCCCAGTCACTCAGAAGACTGATGCAGGAGAATCACTTAAACCTGGGAGGTGGAGGTTACAGTGAACTGAGATTGTACCACTGCATTCCAGCCTGGGCCACAGAACAAGACTGTCCCAAAAAAAGAAAGAAAGAAAAAGAAAGAAAGAAAGAAAACAAAAGCAGTAAATAAACTTATATTTTTTAAGAACTTAGATTTAATTCTTTTAACCAAAATAACTAAGATGTGGCCGAATGCAGTGGCTCACACCTGTAGTCCCAGCACTTCAGGGGGCCAAGGCGGGCGGGTCACCTGAGGTCAGGAGTTAGAGATCAGCCTGGCCAACATGGAGAAACCCTGTCTCTACTGAAAATACAAAAATTAGCCAGGTGTGGTGGTGCATGCCTGTAGTCCCAGCTATTCCTTGAACCTGGGAGGAGGAAATTGCAGTAAGTCAAGATCGTGCCACTGCACTCCGGCCTGGGCAACAAAGTGAGACTCTCTCAAAACAAACAAAAAACAAAACAAAACTAAGATGTAGTAGGTGCTCACTACACGCAGGCCCTGCAGGGTTGTCAGCGGGACTCTCGGGCCAGCACACCCCACAGTGGTGGGAGCCATCCCTGCCGTCCACCCACCGCGGAGGGCAAAGTCCAAGCCCAGGCTGATGCCTGAACTCCAGATGCCCTTCCTTATAAGAAAGTAGGAACGTTTGTGTCTCTTCTACCTGGGGTCTAGGGATAGCTTGATCCCATGGGGCAGCACGCTCACTCCAGAGCCCCACAAGAGAGCTGAGGCTGGGGACCCTCTCTGGCTTTGCTTCTAAAATCCATCTCAGACCCTTCCCCATTGCAGAAGCCTGGGGAGTGTTGGGTAGTAGCAGGGGTGGGAGTGGACCTTGGGCCTCGTCTGACCCCAGGTCTACAAATGTGCCAGGGCTCTCAGGGCTACAGACCCCTCCTTCTGGAACCCAGGGCCCAAGCACTTACTTCACCCACTTTTGCCAAGAGCTGGGTGCCCCAACATGGCAGTCCTGGTCAACCCCACAGGAAGTGGGGACTCATCTGCTTTCCTTCTTCCCCTCTTGGCCTCCCCGGGCACCCCATTTTCAGAGGCCCTACCTGGTCCCCAGTCCCCTGAAACTCAAGCTCAGGTATTTCCTCAGCATCTGCCTGTGAGCGCCTCGGGGGGAAGCAGACCCCTCACCCCTGCCCCCAGGCACGTCTCCCAGAGGGCCAGGCTGAACAGAGAGCCAGTCTAAGACCCTCCCTTCCTTCCCTGCTTACAGACACAGACACACAGCCCTGAGTCTGTCTGTCCTGCCTCCCTCCTACGTACACAGTGTTCGCACACAGACACACCATAGGCCCCACAAACACCATGGCAGACCTCTCTCCCAGGAAGCCCAGCACATGTTGGGACAAGACATGCCTTGTTCTCAGGAAGGGCTTTCTCTTGCCCAGAGTAAGCCCCTCCCTGCTCACAGGCTGCAATTCTCCAGGGCCACACTAAGCGCCCTTTATTCAGAGAAGAAAGAGCGACAAAGCACCTTCAGCTGGCTCGGGGCGATGAATCTCCTCCTGTCCTGACGCCTCAGCCTCGGCCCCCTCCAGAGTTCCTTCCGATTCATCTGAAACAGAGGCGTCCTTCACCTCAGCGTCCTCACTGCCGTCGCTGTCCACACCATAGCCCTCGTCCAGAGCCAGCTTCAGGGGGTGCGACTTCCTCTTGGACACCAGGTGCTCAGCCTCAGCGCCCTCCAGCTTCCTCTTCTTGGCCAGGGGGCAGCTCTGTAAACTGGGAGGAGGAGGAGGCAGTGGAGAGGGCCAGGCTAGGGCCACGAGAGGCCTCAGCCACCCCATGAGCCCCTCCCGAGGGTCCTTTCTCCCTCCTCCACAGACTCATCCAGTCCTCGCAGGGGACCCGGACAGGAAAGCCAAAGTGCGGCGTGGGAGGACCAATAATCTGTCTGCTCCCACGTGGCATGCCCACGGCCACCCTGGCCTCCACGCTGGAGTGGGAGGATGCTGCCTCGCAGGAGGGGCAGCAGCCTGTCCTCATCAGCTGTGGACAAAGACGGAAGGTTCTCTATCTGCAAAAGGGCCTAGAGCAGGGGAAGGCTCCAAATCTACTCCAGGAACCTCTGTGAGACCCCAGGGTCCCCTTACCTTCGGTGCCTGGAGTACTTGCCCCGGACGTGTCCTGAGCCAGTGCATCCTGGGGTGGGGCAGCTGAGGGGAGATAATAAGGCAATGGGGTTCAGATCTCAGGGCCCATCCCAGACCTTCACCCCAGAGAGCAAATTACCCCCAAACAATTCAGCTCAAAATGCTGCTTGCGGTTTGCTGAAATTTAATAACTTGCCTCATTCAAATAAATTCATGGCTCATTACAGTTTTACAAATATTCAGTTAAAGATCTGTATATATAAGCGCAAGACTTCCAAGGCCAGAGTCTCTGGGACAGCTGCTCTGCAGGCATCTCACCGGCTGCCACCCGGGTTCCAGGACTAGACACAAGACATTCTGAGGGGCCTTGAACACAGCACCCCTCTCTACAGAGGGCCCACACCCAAGGCACAAACGTTGGCCTTGGCCTTCTCTGCGGCCACCTAATGTTATAAGGCCCACGGCCCCCACTAATGCCGTAAGGCCTGCAGCCACCACTAACGCCGTAAGGCCCGCGGCCACCACTAATGCCGTAAGGCCCATGGCCATCGAGGGCAACAGTCTCTGCCTTCCCTGGCAGCTGCGACCTTCATGCCCCAGCAAACTGAGCTGGGACTGCCAGGCAGGAAGGACTCTGTGGCCCAAGCCAAAGACGGGGGTGAAGATTTCACCCCAGTGCCTGCAGCTGGTGTGGGTCGCAGCTTCCATGGAGGAAAATGAGCCCAGGAGGACTAATGAACCAGGAGCTGACAGCATCTGCCTTGGTGGAGGACTCGAGCTGTGCTAAGAAGAGCAGTTTGGGGAGGGGTGAGGCTGACCCTCTTGCATCTCTCCCCCCAGGGTTGGGAAGTCCAAGGCAGGACACCCAGGAGTTCCCCTTCCTTAAGCATCATCCGCCTCCCCACATCACCAAAACAGCAGGAAGCTCTGGAAGCTTCTGAGCATGAGTACTGATTATGCCAACCAACCGTAGCAGCAGGACCATGGCTCCCACGGCAGCCTCCGGCAAAGTGGCCAGACACCGGCCGGTGTGGAGTATGAGGCCAGAGCTGACCACACATCAGGCTCTGGCAGGCTGCTGGATGCAGCCACCACTGAAGGACTGTAAGCCCTTGCTTACAAAGGGAGATGCCCGTGCAAGGTCACCTAAGGCAGGCGGGAGGGGCAGGCCTGCGCTCCCTGTGGGAAGACAGAGGCTTTCCTGGCCAAGATGGGAGTACGTTATTTTTAACAGGATCAACACTGTTGAGTCTGAGCTCTTTCCAGAACACCAGCACATCTTCCAGAGCCTGTAAGGGAGGAAGGGAAGGACTGGCACCCCCACACCTGAGACCCAGGGAAAAGAACACCATCCCAACCTCTATTCAGACACCTCTGATCGTTTCCGATTTGATTGACCACAGGCCTGACTGCAGACAACTGTGGGGCCCACCTGGCCTTGAAGGCCGCACTCCCTGACCACCCCAGGGAGAACTGTCAGGAGATTCCGGCCCCGCCACAACCCCAGGCTCAACAGCAGCCTTCCAGGGCGGGGCTGATCTTAGTGCTGGCTTAGAGTGTTAAAAAGAAGACAGAAAGGAAGGGAAGGAAGGAGGGAGGAGGTAGGAAGGAACCCAAGCAGAAAAGGAGGGGAGAAGGAGGAAGAGGGAGAGGGAGGGCAGGCCACTCTCCGCTGCAGGTCCCCTTTCCAAACTGAGGGAGCTGCTGCTGCCGCCGCCCCCTCCCCGCCTCCAGTCTCTTCTAAAATCCAGGCCCACACTTGCTTTCCCTCTTTCGAGAACTAGCTTTGAGGCTTTTCACAAAAAGCTCCTTGTTACTGGGGATTTGAAGCTAAGGTCCCAATTAGTCGATTAAACCACTGAGTTAATCAGGAAATTAGGTGGCAGCTGCCATTGAGGCCTGGGGAGACTGGCACTGCCCTGAACACATCACCCTCAGCTCAGAAGAGTCCGGTTCCCAGAAAGGTGGTCCTGCACCTTCCAGCCCCAGACTCAGAGAGCATGAGACAGGGCTGTGAGCCCAAGTGCGTGGAGCTCACAAGGCCACTCTGGGACAGGAAGCTGGAAATGCAAGACACCCTGCAGATGCCTGCTCCCTACCCCACAGCCGAGTGGACCAGAGACCCAGCCAGGGCCTCCAGGGGTGTTACCCCAGCAGATGCCAGCCCTGCCGCTTCAACTGCAAGCACTCCGGCTCTTATTCACCGATTTCCTCTGGGTGCTCAGGGCCGGGGCTGTAAGGAGAGGAACATGACTCGGGCTCCAGGACTCCAGAGCTTCTTTCTCTGAGAGGAGGGAATTCCCCAGCCTTGACTCCCCACCTGTGATGGGGGCTGATGTCAGGGATGCAAGGAAAGGATGCCCCTGAGGGTGGGAAGAGGGTGCAGCTCACAGGCACCCCTCCGCTGGCAACCTGCAGGGTGACTCTGAGGAACCCACACTGGAAAAGTTGGCGTTGAAGATGGCAAGTAGGGAGAGGGGTTGAAGCCTGGCTGGGGGCCCCATGCTTCAACTACTATCCTTTGAAGGCACAGCCTTCTCCCCCTCCCCTGGGGCAGATGGAAGACCCCCCCCACTCCCTCCTGTCACCTGGCTTGGAATTGGCCAACAACTCAAGGAGCAAGGCTCCGGAAGGGAAGGGTGAGCTACAGGGAGTCAGGACGCAGATGTGTTCCCTCTCTGAACTCAGGGCTGTCGGCGCCTTGCTGTCTCAAAGATGCTGACCCCAACCCTAACCCTAACCGCAACCCTAACCCTAACCCCAACCCTAACCCTAACCCTCCAGCAGAGCCTGTCTGAGGCCATGTGACGACAGACTGACCCAGACAAAAACACAAGCTGAAATGTCATCAGCTCTTCCACTGGAGTGAAAGGAAAACCCATCAAACCACTTCTCTCAGGCACTTTGGAGTGCTCAATTTAGCGCACACGGAACTCCCAGTGGGCGCCAAGGTCAGAAATGGCAGCTCAGGGTCTGACCTCTCCTCAGCTCACCTGGTAAACAACCAACAGAGTATCTTCCTGGGAGGTCTCTCTGAGCTGGTGGGGAGATAAGCTGGGGTTGGGGGCACTGCGGGCTGGAAGTTCTGAGTGTAAGTCCCTCATCCACAGCGAAAGTCCTGCATTCAGGGGTTCCTGGATCTGACTGTGTCTGTGAGCTCATCCCATGCCACAGGCTGCTCCTCTTATAGGCCACAGCAGTGGGTTTTCTCTGGGGGTCATGCTCCCTGTTCCAGGACCCACAGTGTGTGCCCCATGAGGACAGAGGCCTCATCTGCTTGTCAGCACCCACGGCAGGCGGGTACGCAGGTCTTTGGGAGGGAGTCATCATCAGCCCATTTCTGTGGTGTAAATGCTGCCACCGTGGCTGGGCACACAGTTGGCCAGACAAGCCACAGGCATGCTCACGTGAAGCGTGTGGCCAACAGATGTTTGGGAACACAGGAATGAACGGCACCTTCCACGCAGAATGCATTTGATTCCTTGGAACATAATCTTTGTTCTATTTTCCTCTAAGCGTCACTTTTCAGCCATGAAAAATTGCTGAATAAGTTGTTGTTGGAACACTAGATGTCAACATATTTCCCCCTAGTTTCTCCATTAAAAAGTTTCAGAGTCTCACTATTACCAAGTAAATAGGTTGGGAGCACAGACTAATGAGGGCGTCCAAATCTAAATGCTTACAGAACCCCGTCAGTTAGGCTGGACAGGTCCTCTCAGAATGTTTCAAAACAAACAATTCTATTTGAGAGTCATTTTTCCTTCTGCTGTTTCAGAGCTACAAGGGAGCACCCAGCCATTTGTATTTGCCGTTTCAGCTTCCTCCACACTCCATCTGTCACCCAAAAAGCCTGGAGTTCCCTCAGCTCCTGTGCCTCACTCGCTGCGCGCTCACCCAGGATCTTCTCCGTCTGTGTCTCCACCATGTCACCAGGCAAATGCCACCTGGCACCCCCTCTGCCCTTTTCTCGGGGCCCTTCTGAGTATCTCTCGGCATCGCAATGACTGCTTCCTCAGCAGGCTGGCCAAGCAGACAGTGTCCCCCTTCCAGGGAGCTGACCCCTGTGTTTTGGAGGACTGTGTTCTGGGGAGCACCCAGACCACAAGTGCTGCCACGTGACCTGGTTCGGCTGAGATTCCACCCCGCCTCTCCCACCTGCTACCCTGGGTGGGGCTTCCAGCAAGTAGCCCATGCGATTCAGCTCTTCTGGTTAGGTGAAGGTGAATCCCTGAGTCTCGGTCTCCCCACTTCACAAACAGGGTGATAACACACCAGGCAATACTTCCATGACATTCCCAGAGATCAAGACTGTAATGCTTGTGGCTGTAATGTAAGTGGCTGGTCCTTCAGTCACGGCTGCAAAGAGGTACAGGGCTCTGACGGGGCAGGCGCCACATCTGTGACCAACACAGGGCCTGGGGCTTGGAGCACCCCAGCTCCCTCCCCTAGCCCTCCACGTCATCTCCAAGTTACAGCCTCCCTCTGTCCCACCTCTGCGAAAGGTTTACAAAGTAAACTACAGGCCTCTCATTTTCTGGATGGGCAGAAGCCATCTACTCTTCAATTGTATGGTGAACAGAGATGGTCCCTGCCCTGAGAATCTGTATCCCTAAGAAGTAGGGAGAAAACAGTCACAGAGCTCAGCCAGCCAGATCATCAGCACACAGAACGGCTGTTTGCATCCTGAGCCAATGGAAGACTCAGGATGAGGAGACCCTCTTCTCTTATCTCACCCCCAAACTGGGCCTCCAACCATTTGACACAGGAGCATTTGTAAGAGTCTGCAAAGAGGGTAGCTTGTTCCTGGTTTGGGGGACTCTGGTGATAGTCCAGGTCCCCATGGTGACCAGGAGCAAGCACATCTGTGTCCCTGCCATGGTGTGGGGGCCAGGACAGAGGTGAGAAAGGGTAGAGATGGGGCCAAGATAGCTGGATGCATGGCCAGGAGAAAGGCAGCCTCTTTAAGGAAAGCAGGGGCTCACCAGGCACATTCGGTCAATCCAAGAAGACCCCGATTGGGACATTTAAGATATCTCCAGGGTCACAGGTGCATAGACAATGCTTGGTGCTAACAGGAAGACTTCCTTACCTGAGGTCTGCAGCTGTGGTCTCTGGGGCTCCTGGGAAAAAGAGATAAACAGGGAAAACATGGGAATTGTGATTTTAAAGGCTCATTGCCCTAACAGCAGAAACCAAGTTAAACAGCCAAAGACAAGTGGAGGCAATCTCAGAGACCTGCGCAGTTTTTCTGGGGTCCTCACCCTGTCCTGACCTCCCAGAGAGTCCTCCAAGGTCAGCAGAGGGAGCTGCTCCCTCCAGCCTGATGCTCGCCCCAGAAGACCCCCTGAGCAGCCTGGCTGTTTTGCCGAATGAGACATACGCTCTGCCTCAGACAGGCTCTCTGGGACCTCAGGGCCAGGGATGGGATCTCTTTCTCTAATTGAGGATAGAAATCAGCTTTTGGCAGGAAACACAAACCACCAGATCAAGCTGGACAGAGAAGAGAACAACTGGACCAGGCTGCTGGTCCTTCAGTGATGGCTGCAAAGATGTACAGGGCGCTGACCGGGCAGGCACACCTGGCATGCTGGGAGCTCCTGGCCACTGCGTGGGACACAACAGGAAGACAGCCCCCCAACCATGTATCAGGGAGGTAAGTCTAGCCAAGGGTTAGGACTTAGATCCTAGCAGAGTGAGCGAGGCCTCAGCCCCTCTCCCCGCACTGCACTGCTGGCTCAACCCAACACCCTCCTATTCCCCATCAGCACCAAGACTGATCTCTTGGGAAGGATGGGGGCTGCTGGTGAAAGGTTGGCAGCCTCCCATTTCCAAACAGAATGGTCTTGTAACTGAGCCTTGCCATTCCCACTCCGTGAAGCTGGGTCTGCCTCTACATTTCTGCCCTCAAGGCAGGTTCATCTGGGGCAAAGGCCCCTCAGCAGCCCTCTCAGATGCCAGCTTCAAAGCTCAGCAGGCCTGAGGATGAAAGGGGCTGCAGAGGCCCGAGGTCCCCAGGGCATCTCTGCACATGTGTGGTAGGGGTTTGCACGCCCGAGGAAGACTTCAGAGGAAAGTGGCATTTACAGCCCCGGAGGCGGGGAGGGCAGCACTTACCTCGCAGGGCCTTGGATCGGGTGCGAGCTCGCTTATCTTCATTTTCTAAGCTCATCTGCAAGCAAAAACACCGTGATGTTAACAAAAACACCCAGCCAGTGCCTCTGGAATACAGAACCATCAGTCTGGCCATTTTCTGTCTCAAGCTTTGACAGCGAAGGTGATTTTGGGCACAGAATGACAAGGATGGGCTCAAAGGACAGGAGAGGCCTGGGGCCAGGAGCAGCAGGTGGGAAACTGTGGAGGAAGGACCCTCTACTAGGCTCGGAAGTGTCCCATCGGCATGTCCCAGCCCTTGGCAAGGAGGCTGCAGTGCACCGTGCCCTCCGGCCGCCCCTGGGCGCACCTGCCAACGAGTGCCGAGGCATGGGCTCTGCCCCACTGAAGCCTTAGGAAAGTTCATGTTTTATCCATGAGGGTCTCCTGGCCCGACACAGAGCAGCACTCACCGCTCACCTCTCACCACACTCAGCCACCATGGCAGGGCGGGTCATCCAGCAGCTTCTGACCCCCAGGGCACAGCTTTCCATGGGCACTTTCTTCCCGCTACAGCAAAGGCTTCACTGCCCCTTCTCCACTAGGGTCATCCCATGAGAAACAGGCAGCCTGGAGCAGCCCCAGCCCATATGTTCTCTGGCCTCAAGGGCCTGGCTGCCTTGCCTGAGCCCATCAGTGTCTCTCCCCACCTGTGATCCCCAAGTCTGACCAGCCTCCATGGGGATGCTGCCCACAGCATCTGTCCTGCAAGGGAGTCAAGGAGGATCCCCCAGGAGGGTGACAATCACAGAAAGGATATGCCTGGGGGTGAGGGTCACACACAGAATCCCAGTCCTGTGTCACCATGGCAAATCTGGGCAGACAGGTAAATCCCACACACTCCATGCTGTGCAAAACATCCTTCTCAGGGAGCTATGCCAGGTGGGGGAGGGCATCTGTAGCTGGACAGGGGATGCTCCATACACCCCGGGAGGCCCAAGAGGACAGCGCTAGACTCCACCACCATCACCTGTGGTCAGGAAGGGGAGGCAGCAAATCCACACCTGTCCCAGGCCACAGACACCAGAGCAGCCAGAGCTCCATGTGTGAGGTTGTCAAAGGGAAAGCAGGGGTGTGGAAAGAAGTAGCAGAAGAAAGGAAGGGAGGCAGCAGGAGATGGGCTCAGAAGCCCCCACGTCTTAAATGGGGCTTTAGTTCCTGAAAGCCAGCAAGAGACAAATGTCTACAGTACCACCTGGGAAGACAGAAAAAGGAATTCCCCCAATTAGTAAGACGAAATTTGCAAATTGAACCTCCCCAAGCAGCAGCACTAACATACAGTGATATATGTGATTTGTTAAGGAAGAAAAATCAAAACCTGGGTAATTTATGCAACCTGTCGACTCCGGGCTGCAGAGCACAGCGCTATGAGCCGTGCGTTTATTACAGCCTTCCAATAGAACAGAAGACAATTACTACAATTTCTATTTTTAAAGCAGAGGTTCCCCATGGACCAATGGCTCACATTTAAAGTGAAGAGAGGAGCAGGTGTCACAGGGACTTCATTACATTTATGAGCCTTCAAATGTCGTCTGCTCTGAGCCCGTGCGCAATGCCTTCCACTGCAGAATGCACAATGGGGCTGATGTGTCTGATTGCACGGTGCCCACACGCAGCTGAAATGCAATCTACGGCTTTATTTTTTTTTTTTTTTGTCAGTTTTCCCAAGGATATTGGCAAGCATTCTGCTAGGTTAAAGCGTGCCTGGGCAATTTGGATTTCCTGCAGATAAATTATTCAAAGAGCAGAGAATAGAGAGGGTTGCAGGGATGTGTAATGGGCGCTGCTTGCAAACTGTGAGCTCCCATTGATGAAGCTGACAGCTCTGCCGCTTCCTCTGCAGAGCACCTTACATTTGCAATTTATCTGCATTGACTGGTCAATAAGCGAGAATTTCTCTTAGGTGCACGTAGCTTTGATTTTTAAAGGGAAAAAACTGAACTACTGAAGAAAAAAACCAGGCTCTTTAATATGGGAGTGAATCCATAAGAGCTGAGTGACTTGGGACACTGGTTTCTGAACTGTTTGAAATCAGCAGTACTGGCTTGACACTGCTTGATTTACGTCACTTTTCGAATGAACTCAAAGCACTTCAGAGGTGGGTTCTCTGCTCTCCTCCTGCCACAAGATCAGGACCCCGATGTAGATGGAGAGTGGATGTGGGGGCAGCCGTGTGCCCCGCACCACCCAGGCTTATCCTGGTGATTACTGGGCGGCAGCCCCCCAGACCTTCCGCACCCCTCACATGGTGGCAGCTGTGCCCTAAAGGGCAGCTCAATGATACGAAGAAGATTAAACACTTCTCAATTTTTCATTGATGTTTAAAACACACTTTACTTGCTCCAAACAGAAGCCAACCAGGTCCCTGTTTTTATACAACCCACAAATAACCCAGTGCCCTCTCCCCTTGAGGGTGAAAAGTTTCCTTTGTTGAGACAGGATGACCCCATTACCCACTCTCACTGCTGGGCCAGAATCTCTCTCAAGAACCTCAGCTCTGTTGCTCCAATGCCAACTTCATTCTGCCAGCGTGAACATGTCTTAAGGCTCTAATTAATATTTCAATAGTGCTGCCTTCATTAGGAAAACCAGGAAAACTATGGGGAGGAGAATAATTCACAAATGCAAATACATTGTATATTGCCAAATTAACCCAAGAGAATTGTCTCTTTGTCCATCCATTTAATTTGCTTCCCTTGTACCATGTAAAAGCAGTCTCCTCAAAAGTGTGTTTTTGCTTTGTTCTGTTTTATATTACTTTTTAGAAAAGTCAGGATTAATCATGTAAGCTCTTTTGAAAATACACGTAGTTCTGGCTGGGTGCGGTGGCTCCGCCTATGATCGCAGCACTTTGGGAGGCCGAAGCGGGTGGATCACTTGAGGTTAGGAGTTTATGATCAGCCTGGCCAACATGGTGAAACCCCGTCTCTACTAAAAATACAAAAATTAGTAGGATGTGGTGGCATGTGCCTGTAATCTCAGCTACTCAGGAGACTGAGGCAGGAGGATCATTTGAACCCAGGAGGTGGAGGGTGCAGTGAGCCAAGATTGCAGCACTGCACTCCAGCCTGGGTGACAGAGTGAGACTCCATCTCAAAAAAGAGAAAAAAGGAAATACAGATATATATACACACAGTTGTCACCATGACATGCTACGAAGACCAGCCCCTTTTCCAGACTCATCTGCATGCTGCCCTTGGCAAATCAGAGTTCCCTGAGTTGGGTGTTTACAAACTCAGGAACCAAAAAAAAAAAAAAAAAAAAAAAAAAAGCAAATGCAGTAAGCAGTCCGGAAACCTGCAGAGCAATCTGGACTCTGAGGCTGAAATTGTGAGAAATGCACTCAGAACCCTGAAACAGGCCTGGGTGTGGTGGCTCACGCCTGTAATCCCAACAGTTGGGGAGGCCGAGGCAGGCATGGTGAAACCTGACTACTAAAAATACAACAACTAGCTGGGTGTGGTGGCAGCCACCTGTAGTCCCAGCTACTCGAGAGGCTGAGGCAGGAGAATCACTTGAACCCAGGAGGCCAAGATTGCGGTGAGCCGAGATTGCACCACTGCACTCCAGCCTGGGCTGAAGCAAGATTCTGTCTCAAAAAATAATTAGAAAAAGAACCAGAAACATAGCCAGAAGCAAACCACTCAGGTCTAATCTCTAAGGGAAAAGAGTGGACTCAACTGCCAAAGACATCAGGGCTAGGGATTTTCCATGAAGCCCAACAGGCCTTGTGCCAACTTCCACCCTTGCCCCCAGAGGCTGTGACTGCCCACCCCTTCCCTGGCCCCAGCTCAGGGACGCCCGTTTTTCCTTGCTCAGTCACTCACTCCCTCTCTGTCTCTCTCTGCCCCTTTCCTTTCTCTCTCATGCTTCCTCCCAGGGTCCTCAAAGCTGAACAGCCCCCTCCCTCAGCACCCATCACAACCCTTCTGTACCACTGACCCGGGGCTGGTCAAAGGACAGAATCCTGGCTGAAGCCTGGTCCTGGCAGGATGGTGTCCTGGCCCTGAGGGGCATCAGCCTGGCACCCCAAGGTTTGCATGTCACTCCAAGGAGGCAGGGAGTGTTGAGGGGAGAGCCCAAGGCAGAGGGAGCTGCTAAGGCTTGAGAGCCAGGTAGGGATAGGGAGGGTGAATGGAGCAGTGACCTGAAGACATCTGGGGTGGGAGACACTCCAGAGGTGGAGTTGGGAACATTCGTGGGTGGCCAGCACCCTGCCTCTTCCACCTCTCGAAGTCCCCACCCTGTGCCTGCTTGTTTCCCTCGCAGTCCTATTCTCAGTCTGAAATGAGCTCCTGCATTCACGGTGTTAAGGTCACTGTCTCTCCTCCAGAGAGCTGCTCAGTGCATATCATGTAAGGATGGGTGGATGGACAGGTGGATGAATGAATACATGGGGATAGGCAGAAACATCTCTGGGAGAGCACCTGCCGGGCCCCAGGGAGCACAGGCAGCCCCTTCCCAGAAGGATCTGAGGAAGAGGAGGGTGCCAGAAGCTGGCCGTTGCCCACCCTGCCTGGCTCCAGCGGTGCCTCACACCACATTCAGTTTCACTTCTCGGCAGTGAGGGGAGGGGAGATGCACAGAGCCATCTTCTGACCTGTTTTCTTCTGTCACTCATGTACTGAGGGCAGCGCCAACTTCCCTGTCACCACTGGGAAGCCCTTGCAGCAGACAGTACTGTGGAAGGTGCACATTCTCACTCAGCAATCTCAGAGCAGCTTTCAAACATTTGCCTCACTCCCCTCCCAAGTATCCCGGGAGGATCACCTGCCTGCCAGCTCAGCCCACAGAACAGATACAGGAAGTCGGTGACCTTGGCACACACCCTGCTTTCCACACTCTTGATCTCTGAGGCTAAACCATGAGCCCTCACCCCTGCACCCCACTGGGAGCACCCCCTGGTTCCTGGTAGTGACAGTTCTGTCTCCACATTGGGTGATGTCCTGATTCATGTCTGAAATTCTGAAATCCTCCTGACGAATTCAGCAGATTACACCAGCCTCCTCCTTAGGGCATTGAAAGGACACCTCCATGGGGCATTATTTAACACATGTCTGAGAAGGGGTTCTCTTGACAGCTCTAAACATGGGATACTGGCTCACTTCACTCCCAAATTAAGAATTATGTTTACGTAATGGGTACCCTGCTGAAGCAGCCATATCTGCATCCATCTGTTAAAAACCCCAGCATAAGTGGAATTCACACCCACCCAGGGCGGACTCCAGTAACATCAAGTGAGGCAAGGGCCACACCCAGCGGCAGCGTCTTCCCTCGCAGGAGCCTCTATCCAGTCACCCTTGCCAGAGGCATCCCCTGCCTTGGGCAAGGGGAAGAAGGGTTGGCTGAATGGTCGTGCGTGCAATTGACCTTTTTCATGATTCCATATCTCTACAGCCATCCACTGAATATTTTGCAAGACGGGGTTAGGGAGCTACCGCCAGCGCCTGCGCTCCCCGCGGACGCACCACCACCTGACTTCTCTGGCAGCCGCTTCCAACCGGTCCTGAGCTGTCCACACGCCTGGTGCTGAACTCACAGCAAGCGGCAGGCTGTCACGGTCCCCTGCACAGGGCGTGTCTGTTCGCCGCCCTCCCGTGCTGGCCCCTCACCTCACCTGTCTCCTGTCCGAAGCCAGCCTCTGGAAGGCTGATCCGGTGCTGCTGTGGCTGTGTGACATTCTCGCACTGTGGCCACGGCTCATCACCTGTGCTGCCACCCTCCTCAGCCCCTAAGGCAGGAGACGCCACCTGCACCAGCCCCACTGTCCTCTGGGCAGTCGACCCTTTCTCATCCTCTCGCCTTCTCTGGCACACTCTTCATCTTAGCTTCTCTATTCAGAGCAGTAACTCAGGCCCTATCTGCAAAAAATAAAGGAAAATGACTCAAACAGAGCAGTGATGAAAGAGCTGGTCATGCCGCAAGAATGTGGGCATGGGCCCCTGGCTTTGTTCACAGAAGCTGCACTTTGAAAAGCCATGGGTCATCCATGGCAGGTCCCAAACTCTGTGAGTTTGTCATACTTGGGGCCGGGGGTAGACAAAAATCTTCCTACCCACCCCTGACATGGCGTCAGACGTTTGTAGATAACACTTTATGCAAAGTCCCTGTCCTCAAATCAAGTTACTTCTCACATGACCTCATGTCAGGACAGCTCTCTGTGAATCCTCAGGGCCTGTGGTGCTGTGAGGGGAATGAGGCCAAAAACTCAATGATCAAGATAAATAAAATTTTAATTCAATATTTAGAAACATCAACATGATGCAAAAAAAAATGATAAACAAAATGTCAAAACTTTAAATAAAGACAGGATCAATATGACTGACACTTCCTTGTGCCTCAGGCTCCAATGTGGATCAGCAGAGCATGGATAATCCTATGGGAGCCAAAATATGAGCGGAGATGCTGAACAAGGTATCTATAACAGACCCATTAAAATGTACATTCTCGTCACCAGATTCAAAATAAAAAGGTTGGGTCTTGAGAGTAAAATACAAGCACCCTCAAATGAAGGTCCCACTGTAACTGCACAGCCCTCCCTGCCTGCACCCTCGGTCCTCACTGTCCCTGAGCCCTGAGTCCCTGTGTCACAGCTGGGTCCTTGCTGGAGAACATCCACATGCAAGGAAACAAGAGGGCAGAATCTGATGTCTGGGAAGGGCTGCACCCTAAGCCACTGAGAGCCTCTACTTCCAGCTCTGAGTGGACCTGGCCTCACCAGAGAGTATTGGTGGGAAGTTCTAGAACCAGAGGGTTGGTGAAGAACAGTGGCTGTAAGCACGTGTGACATCACAGTTTGGGACTGTCCCGAGGGGAGGTCCCCTCCATCACACGTTCTGGGAAGGTATAGGAAGGGCATCATCTGCACCATCTGCCTCCCCTTAGGAAAATCAAAATAAGGCCAACAGACCTCATAAGTTCCTGCTGGCAAACTCTGCTGTCAGATCCTGTAGGGACTCAGCCTGCCCAGGTAAAAGCCAAGTGAATAGAGAACAGCTGCTCAGACACATCACGGAGCCCAGATGTGCTCACACCTCAAAGCGGGAACTGAGACTCTGGGCTCACATTTTAGCTTCGTGGGGTTTTTTTGTTTGCTTGCTTGCTCGTTTTTTGAAATGGAGTCTTGTTCTGTTGCCCAGCCTGGAATGCAGTGGCACAATCTCAGCTCACTGCAACCTCCGCCTCCCAGGTTCAAGTGATTCTCCTGCCTCAGTCTCCTGAGTAGCTGGGACTACAGGCGTGCGCCACTGAGCACAGCTAATTTTTGTATTTTTAGTAAAGATGGGTTTTACCATGTTGGCCAGGCTGGTCCCAAACTCCTGACCTCAAGTGATCCACCTGCCTTGGCCTCTCAAAGTGCTGGGATTACAGGCGTGAGTCACGCACCCAGCCTGGGGTCACATGTTAGTTTTGATCTGCTCAGAGTAATTTTTCTTCCCTTAATTTTTTTTTTTTTAGACTGAGTCTTGCTCTGTTTTCCAGGCTGGAGGGCAGTGGTGTGATCTCAGCTCATTGCAACCTCCGCCTCCTGGGTTCAACTGATTCTCCTGCCTCAGCCTTCCGAGTAGCTGGGATTACAGGCACCTATCACCACGCCCGGCTAATTTTTGTATTTTTAGTAGAGATAGGGTTTCACTATGTTGGTCAGGCTGGTCCTGAACTCCTGACCTTGTGATCCACCCGCCTCAGCCTCCCAAAGTGCTGGGATTACAGGCGTGAGCAACTGCGCCTGGCCTCTTTCCTTAATTTTAAAGTTACCAGATCATTGCTGATCCTGGTCCCCATTTACCCTTCACCTGACCTGGACTCTGGTGAGGATCACACCAAAAGTCGCCTCCACGCTTCACACCTGCGGCCGAGGAGAGGCTTTGTGCAGGCAACCATGGGGTGGAGCCCAGGACAGGGCCGCTCTCTAGCACCTCACCTTGCAGGGTCTGCCCAGGAGGGGTCTTGAGGTTTGGCAGCTGCTGGCCTGGCCTCCGTGTGTCCACCTCTGATTTAGCAGCTCACCCCGGAACTCATTTTCTGAGGGTTTAAAAAGATACAGGTTCAGAAAAGGAAAGCTTGGTGGGTGGCAGCCACACTGGCTCAAGAGGAAGAAGTGAGAGGCTTGGGGCACTTGTCATACATCATACATTCAATCCCTATTTTCAGAAACCTAATAGAACAACGGACAAGGTCACGGCTCCACGGCTGCTCCAGGGACAAGAAACAATTTCTCTCCGACTCAAGAGCCTCCTCAGAGCCTTCCGGCACCTGCAGTTCTCCACCATTGTCCCCGCTCTGGTGCTGTTCATGCAACATGCCTTGGGTAGGCGGTTGGTTCCCACTGTCAGCCATGCCCACCAGAGTGCTGGGACAAGGCAGCTAAGATCCACCTGAGAAAATGTGGCATTTAATCTCTCCAACTTTGAAAATCAGCTAACGAGTAATTATTCAGTTACAACCAGATCCTTCTGCCCCTCAAAAGAATGCACAGCACATATTCATTTGAAAAAGCAGATTGTTTTGCACAACTTCTCTGGAGCCCATTGATGGGAGAAAGTGAGACCCACCCATGGCGTCAAGTCAGCTTTCCTTCCCACAGGATCCCGGGGGCCCCACCAGGCTCTTTGCCCTGGTTTTCATCGTCTTTTCTCACCCTGTGTTTCTGCCTCTCTCCAGGGCAATGCCTCCAGTTAATATTTAATTCCTCACATAAATTCCCGTGTCTAAGCAGAGGCTGAATGCATCAGCTGGACATGACAAAGAAATGCATTGTGTACCTATTCCCTGCACGTCACTCCCCGTTTCCATGACAACCTGCTTTCCACATAACTGCAGCATTTCAAAGGAAGGTCATTAAGTAACCAACAATAAAAACAGGAAATGAATATTCTTGCATTCTGCTCTGGCTTCGCCTCGGAAGTGAGTCTGGGTTCTGCCGAAGGCACACTGCTCCCACCCGTCTTCCTCCTTTTCCTCACGTTTCGATGTGCATCCCCAAATGCAATTTTTCTCTAGGACTCTGGCCACTCCTGGCCCCAGGCAGCCCTGTGGCTCTGGTCACAGCATCCCCTTCTTATCTGGAAATGCTTCCATCCCATTAAAGGGCTTCGGATTACCTTCCGGAGCATAAACACGGAGGAAAGCAAAGTTGGTCGTCAAGGAGACAGCGTAATACAAGGTCTTCAGAGGAACAAATAAAACCACTCAGATTTGGCACCTACTGTGTGCACCTACTATGTGCCTCCCCTCATTGAGCTGTAACAAAATCACAGGGCATCGCTGAGATGACAGGGCTCCCACCGCATGCAGCGGTGCCTGGACTAGTGAGGAGTGAGCTGTGGGGCTCTTCCCATAACCCCAGATCTCAAGGCCCCTTGGGTTCCCATCTGCACCGAGCCAGCGTGAGGTGCCTCTGAGAGGGCCCAGCCTGCCCACCAGGTAACCAGATTCTCAACTCTATGACAGGGATGCAGGGCAGAGGGAGGCAGAACAAACTGGAAGATTCCGTACGTGAACAAACAATAATTCTGCCAGCCAGGGAGGAGGCCTCACACTTTGAAGATGAGGCATGGGGTTCTCTGGGTGGCTCTTTCATGGTCACAACAGACGGTGAGAGGCAAGGCCCCAGAGTGCACAGGGCTCGCTTTCTGAGCATCTGTCCCAGGAGATGAGATGCTGCGGGAATCTGCTCACTGGGCTGACTGGCAAGGCTCAAGCAGAATTTCCTGTTAGGGTCACATACGTAAATATGCAGCATGTCCGACTGACAGCTGGAGGGAAGGGCATAGGTCTGGGTGCTCCAGAGACGCTGCCTCTCCCGATGGTGACTCCCCTGAGTTCTGCTTTGAGTCTCTCCTGCTTCTCAGAGAAGCTAGGTGGGATGAACTGCAAACATCTCTGCAAAGGGACCCCCAGAAGCCCCGCTCCCTGGGGCTTCTCCACCCACACCCACCCATGAGAGTCTGGAAATAAAAAAAGCCCTGTGGAATTCTTCATTGCTCACATCCCTGACACTCCATCCCTAGGTCAGTCAGACGTGGACTCTGAAGTCCTGAGGCCCCACGCCTGCTCTGGCAAAGCTCTAGGATCACGGGGGTCCTGTGCTCCTCCGAAGAGCCACTCCTGCCTCCCTGCAGCGGAAAAGCCACTGAGCTTATCTGGGCAAAAGGGCGGAATGGCACCTGGTAAAAGCCTTTGCACCCCACCCCTGGATGCAGAGTACAGCAGTAATTGAAGTACATACCCCCAAGCTCAGAACCTCATCTACGAGGACCCGAGGACTCAGCTCGACCTTGACGTGATTCAGCCTCCCTGTTCCAGGAGATGTTTTGGCAGCAAACAAAAAGCACTATGAGAAGCCCAGTAAGGTATACCAGCTCCTCTCCTGTGGCTCCCTCGGTCCCCGAGTGGGACCTGCATGTGGCCACGCCCTGCCCCGTGGGCTCAGTAGTCTCCACATCCATAGGCTCTGCGCAATCAGCATCCCCAGCAGCACATTAAGACCCCACATACCAGGGCCACATGCTAAAGGAAAACTCTCCACCAAAATGTAAGGGGTTCCATAAAGATGCCCCTTCCAGAAGTCATGCTGCTCCATGGACACTCTGTGGTGAGAACAAGGCCCCCAAAGCTCACACAGAGCACCACCAGCAACTCAGACCTGACCGGTAGGTCATGACCCTCTGTGAGACTTAAGTTCTTCACCCATAACGTGGGAGCAAAGACATATTTGGAGATGGAGAGACATGCCTGGGAAGGGCCTGGAACTGAAACCATGAGGACATCAGCGCTGCTGTCACCACCATGGCCTTTCTCGTTGGGAATCTGAAGTGAAGAGGAGGTTTTCATCAAGACGAGCCCTTTCTCTTGGCTTCGCTGGGACCCCTCTCTATAGACCTGGCATCTGTGCACCTGGAGTCCTGCCTGCTCAAGGTTGCTCCCACATCTGTCCCCACAGTGGCCCCAGACTCACTTTTGTGGGGCTCCAGTGGGCAGAAAAAGTAAACAAACAGCCTGCTCAGCTGAGATTGCTGCACGAGGGTCCAGAGAGGGAACCACCCCTCACTGGCTGGAGACTCTAGCAGAGGCCAGGGAGATGTGCGGAGCTGAGCTGCACCCCCTCTGCCCCTCTCCTAACGAAGCCCTCTTTTTCCAACTCAGCAGAACGGCGAACTGGAGACTAGCCTGACCCAGGCCCCAGACACGACATTTCACCGAGAGCCAGTACTCCGCTGGGCTCTTCCCAGGGAGTGCTGCTGGCCTACCCCAAGGTTTCCTTCTGTCATCATGGCAAGGAGAGCCACCCGCTGACACTTTGCCAGCACACACTTCCTCCTTGCACTGGCACTGGGGCCACTCCACTCACAACCCCGTGGGGGTCCCCACCCCAGTGACCATGGCTGCTTTCATGCTGGCTGGGTGGCTTAGAATCTGGCCTGCGCCAACCTGCCCCCACGGTGCCTCCCCTGGGCCCTGTGGTGTTTAGCTCTGACCCACTCTAGCACTGGCAACTCGACCCCCTTCCACGGCGCACAACCTCCGCAGTCTGAAAACAAGAACAAAATAACAGGAAAGCTGAGTGAGAGGCCAGGTGGTGAGCACAGAAAGCCAAACGTTTTCAGTCTTCACTGGGTTTTGTATCGCTGGTGACTACTGCTGCCTTTGGGGCCAGGAGCTGTTACCACCTGCCCCTCAGCATGCAAAGAGGGGAAGTGGAGTCTCTCGAGAGGAGCCCACATCTCCATTCTCCCATGCACCCCCTCAGCCCTCCTCTGTCTCCAGCATAGGAGGTGGGGTCTTGCCTCCCTGCTGAGCAGGCCTCTCCATCTGGATTCATACCCACCTCCTTCCCACTGTCAGTTAAAGTTCCCAGGAGTATCAGCTCTTCCCTCCATTCTTCTGGAATATTTAACTGCTCTTTCCAACTCTTCAGCAGGCTTGAGGCATTCATATTTAAAAACAGTCTCTCTGGACCCCACGTTCCTGCCGGACCCCTCTCCCTCACCTCCCGCTTCGTAACTATACTTCCTGCTGACTCTTCCTCCAGCCCCAGCACAACTGGCCTCCACCCACATCCCACTACTGAAACAGCAGCCGGTGTCACATTCACAGGGCACGTGAGGGCCCACTACGCGTTGCTGAAATGCGTGTCTGTTCCCCACTTCTGTGGCAAACACCGGCCCCGACCTTGTCAGCCCCTGCATTGGTTCCTCCTGGCCACTGGCCACCCCACGTCCCACACCCTCTCCTCTCTGCGTCCTCTCTGCCCACAATCTCTGCTTCGTATGTGACTTGGGCATTCCTCTTCCCATCTTCAGTCATCAGCTCCTCAAGCCAGAACCCTGAGGGTCAGCCTTGGCCCCAAATCCTGCCAATGTTGCTTCCTAAATCTCACCAGAATCTGGCCATTTCTGACCTCTCCAGCTGTGTGGTTTTGTTCTGTTTGCAAAAATTGACAAACGCATTCTAAAACTCACATGGCAATTCAAGTAATATAGACTAGCCAAAACAATTTTGAAAAAGAGCAAAGTTGGAAGACACACTTCTCAATTTCAAAACTTACTACAGAGCTGCAGTAATCAGGGCAATGTGGTACTAGCATAAGGATGGCATGCAGGGAAGTGGGACAGAACTGGGAGTCCAGGAATAACCCCTGTATTGATGGTCAGTTGATTTTCACAAAGGCACTAAAAAATTTAATGGGAAAAAAACTGTCTTTTCAACAAATGTGCTAGGACAACTAGATATCCTGAAAAAATGAACTTGGACCCCTGTCAAAAATTAACTCACACTGGATCACATATTTAAATGTAAGAACCAAAACTCTTAAAAAACTTAGGAGCAAATCTTTCTGACTCTGGGTTAAGCAATGGTTTCTTGGCTATGACAACAAAAGTACAAGCCATTAAAAAAATAATAATACATCGGACTTCAACAAGGTTTAAAACTTTTGTAGCTAAAATAACACTGTCAGTCGGGCAAGGTGGCTCACGCCTGTAATCCCAACACTTTGGAAGGCCAAGGCGGGCAGATCATTT